CTTGGGATTTGGGTTTGGTCTTTAGGTTGTTAACTAAGGCGGGCGTTAGGCTTTGAGTTCGGGGTGTCAGGGTTTTGAAACAGGTAGTTTCGGATGCCAGTTGCACAGCTGTTCGGGTCTGCGAAGGTCAGAGTCGTAGATTCTCGGTCATCTCTGCAAACCGAGCCAGAACCCCAAGCACTAAACTGCCCAAGCGATTCGTGTCCAGGGCATGCGATGTGTTACTTTGCATTTAGTGCTCGGGCTTGTGAAGGGATTTGATCTTGACGAAACCCTACCTAACCGACCAATTTAAGTATAAGGAAGCCATCATAGTAAGGAACCGAAAGAAGGTAGGCTTCTGTAGAGTGCACGGAAGCTGTACTCAAAAGGATTCAGCGTCCAGGACCCTTTGCGATTCCATGTTACTGTAGTATGGTTCTGAAACCCAGCTTAGGCGAGTAGGGTTGAAGACTTCGCTGACAGTCGCAGGCGCACCCCTTGATTGATGTCCGGCATGACCGTCTAGGGTTTTTTTGCGATTCATCTTGAAGAGTGCCTCACACAGTAGCAAGGTCATATAGACTATTCCCAAAACCCTATTGACATGACGCTTTAGAGGAACCCTATTGTAGTCTTTACAGCATCTGTTACACGGAGGCTGAAGACCCGCGGCGAGCTGCGGAATTTGGATCACCTACGCCGGGGGTCTCGGGCAGTCGCCAGGGCTTGATGCTTAGGGTTGAGGGCTTATAGGGTTGTTAGGGGCCTGAATGATTACCATGTGGTTCCATACGGTTCCTTTAAAGTTACTATAGTGGCTTCTATATAAGGGCTATTACAGGCGTGTAATACAGGGGCTTAAACAATTAGAACAGGGTTCCTTTAAAGGAGTCTATAAGGATTATTGAAGGGGTATTATGGAGGTTTAGTATAGTTGCTTAAAGGCCTAAATAATTACCAATACTATTTTGGGGATTCCTTATTAACAGTATAGTATAATGGGCCCCAAAACCCAGTTCTAATTATTAAGGCCCCTATATACTAAAGGTTTGAACGGTTTAGTGTTCAAGCGCTGAAGGTCTAGGGCTTATGGCTTATGTTTAGGCTATTTCGGGTATACGTTCCTATACCGTTCATGTTGTGTGGGGCAGACCAATCGCCAAGCCCTTGCCAGCGCAATAGCAGCGACAACAGCAACATTTGAGAGCATCATGCTAAGAAAATCCTGGACCTATGCCCCACAACCTAAACCCCTGAGCCCTACGCTACACCTCGCGTGGTCGTTGACGATTTGGATTTCTTACAAGGCCTAAAAAAGTCCTTGAGATCTCATCCTGGCAACCATGGCCAGATGAAGGCTGCGGCAATGCAAGACGCACTCTTATGATCTTAACACGATAAAAACCACCCTTAAACTCCCAAACCCCCAAGCCCCAAACCCCGAAATTCGCTCAATTTTGTAAGCCCCAAGCGTGTAAGCCCTGAACCTTAGTCCCAACTATATGTACCTTGTAGGAATAAACTCAACAGGGCTCGAGGTCCCCCTCGCTTAGAAGGACAGAAAGATCCAATGTGTTTGTGTTTTTAAGGGCTCGAGGGCTCATAAGACAAAGGATTTGGGGGGTCCTGGCTTTTTTCGTTCAGTGTGGTAGGGATTCGGCTTGTATGGCTCAGGATGGACTTTGTCGACTAGGTTCAGAGTTTAAAGGGTTTCGGGTTCAGGATATAGGGATGGCTTCAAATGGGCTACATACAGCAACGTTAACTTAAGGGTGAACGGCTTTAGGGCTTTGTCGTGGTTTGGGACTTAAGGCTAGCCTGGCTTCTACATCATATGTCATGATCGAATGGAACCCTAAACCCTAAAGCCTTCACGCTTTTGTATTGTTTTTTGTGTCAACTACTGTCCACATACAGATTCCCGACCCAAAACCTACATGTAGGGCAGCCCACGGTGCAAGAGGCTGCCTGGATAGCCTACTATAGGGGCCTTAGATAATTACCTATACTAGTTTGGGGGCTCCTCATTATAACTATAGTAAAAAATACTCCGAAGCCCTACTGATTCTAATTATTAGGGCCTCTGTACCTGCTTCAGAAAACTATGGGTCCTTCACTTAAGGGTCCTTGCGCCAAGAACCCTGTTTCTGCTATTTTGGTTTCGAGATCTGGCCTCCCTGAGTCTGAAGCTCCCACGTGCCAACACAACCCCAATTCCTCACCCCAAGGGTCCAAAGGACCCAATTTCTCAGGTACTTGCGTTTAGGATAGTAGTCATGGCCTCCTAGGTAGGGGCTTTGGGACATTTTATATTTGCTCTTATTGGGCAAATGAGGATCTTACCGACTAATATTTTTCTCCTCGCCACTGGGACCCTGGACATGAGAGTCGGCGGAGCATGAGAACGACACCAAAAGCTCACACCCTCAAGCCACCACGGAAGACCCTACCTGTAGTCTCCATTGTAGTTCCTTTTTGGGGCTACCTTATAGGATCCTAATTATATACATATTTGGTTAAACCAAAAATGGGAAGTACAATGGTGACTAGAGGTAAACCTTAAACTTACACCCAACCTTGTGAACTAGCTCAGCAACGGAATGGGCCCTGGGCCTACAAAGAAGAGCAGTCCCTCCTCCGCCCGTGCCCAGGAAGACCCGATGACGAGACTCTCATGGACCATGTGTTTGGGGAGATGGCGACGACAGAGGAGGCCTCACCAAAGGCTGTCAGGTGTTGAGGGTTTAGGGCTTAGAGGGTGTAGGATTTAGGGGTTTAGGATTCAGGGCTTTGAGGTGTTGAGGGTTTTTGATGCAGACTTGGGCCGTCGGATCCCTAACGCTCAAACATGAAAACAGCAAGCGTTTGCCATCACGGCTTGCATTCGTGTTCTGTCTACTGCTGTAATCATTTCTCACTTCGCTTAGATCACTGCCACTACGCCTTATCCATCACGCCAGGTCGTAGTCCCTGAACCCTAAACCCTAAACCCTAAACCCTAAACCCTAAACCCTAAACCCTAAACCCTAAACCCTAAACCCTAAACCACACCATAACCCCTAAAGCCAGAAGCATCCCAGACGCTAGAAGCTCTCAGCCCCAAGCCCTCTGATGCCAGGTGGGTGGTTGTCAAAATTACTACTATTTGCTTAAGAACACCCAAAAAATAAAAAATATATTCCTTATGGGGGTAATATAGGGATTATTATTTTTATTTTTTGGGGGTTTCTTAAGCAAATAGTAGATTATGGTCCCGTTTTGCGTCCCTAATACAATACGGCACCTAATATTTAGGTTACCCACAAACCCTATGGGTCCATGTCCTTAGAGATACATGAGCCCTTTAAAGTACCTACATGGGGACTACATTAAGGCCAATGTGTATACTATATGAGTACATGGACCCCAAAACCCCTAAACCCCTAAACCCCTTAACTTTAAAGCTGTAAACCCTAGAACCCCTAAACTTTAAAACCGTAAACCCCTGAAGCCCTAAACCTTGTAGGGCTTTAGGGAAAGGGAACCTAATTTAGAGAACTGCCCAGGTGTATCGTCAGGGCTTTCGGGAGATCGTCCTCTCGGCTGCAGAGGCTTCATCCTATGGCTCATGGGCTTAGGGTTTGAGGGTTGCAGGGTTTAGGGGTTTTTAGTAGCCAGTTTAGTGTTTAGAGTTTTGGGGTTTAGGGTTTCAGGGGTTGAGGGTTACAGGGTTTACGGGTTTTTAGTAGCCAGTTTAGTGTTTAGAGTTTTGGGGTTTAGCGGTTTAGGGTTTGAGGGTTACAGGGTTTAGGGGTTTATAGTAGCCAGTTTAGTGTTTAGAGTTTTGGGGTGTAGGGGTTTAGGTTTGAAGGTTAAAGGGTTCAGGGGATTCTAGTAGGTTTCAGGGGTTTGTGTAAACCCTAAACCCTAAGCCGTTACCAACAGGTTTTAAGGGTTTGTGGTTGCAGTCATTGCAGGAGATGTGCAATACAGGGCCCGTAATCATGATTTCAGGATGCCGCGGTCTAGTATCCATAGAGACGCTTAGGGGGGTTGGGGGGAGGGGGGGGTAGGGGACTATGCCTCAAATAGACGTTGTTAAGTCCTTATTTGTTATAGGTATTAAGGCCCCATACCCCCCTCCCCTTACCCCCCTAAGGGTCCCTATGAAGCATAGTCCAACGATATAAGATGGGGGCTCTAAGGGGACACTGTTGGTACTTATTTCAACCGCTGTTACATATTAAATTAGGGAGTCAAGGAGTTTTCGGGGTATACTTACATACTTACATAGTTCTCCAATACCCAACCTTGAACTTTTTTGGGTGCTTGTGGTTTAGTAGTCTCGTGATGTTAGGATCTAGGATTTTCGGGTTTTGGCGGTTAGGCGGTGTTCAGCTAAGGATCTGGGAGTTTGTGGTTTTGGACATGGGGTTTCTGGTTTGAGTCTGAGATAAGGGTCCGGGTTCAGGGTTCAGGATTCTTCCGTGCTTAGGTTCTAGGGACTTCATGTATAGGGTACAACAAGGCGTCGAGTTTACGGACAAGGGGTGAGGGTTTGCGGATCAGGGCATGGGACTTACGATTGCAGACTTGACTTCTTCCTTGTCTTCCTTTGAGCTCTTGGGTAGTAGTTTAGTTGTGTTTCGCTTTATGGTTTTGTACAGAGATCTTGAAGGGTGTGTTGTACTTGCCTGCTCAGGGGGATGAAGTCTTGCTCTCGCACACCATACTCTCGTCGCTTCGGGTCCATGTTTACGACTTTATCACGACGGCGGAGGTCTTCTACGAGGTCTCGTCCACTAGGTCACCAGGGATGAATGCTTGATGCAAGCATGGGTCTAAACATATTCCAGATGCCTTGATAAGTTGCCATATTTACAACTTTATAACCAGTTACCCTGGATAACTTGCTTGCGGTGAGAAGTCAGATCCAGGAACTCGGTAAACAAAACTGCATGTGATCCGTGCTGCGTTTTACACCGATGTCAAGCTTGGTGTTGTCTGAACTTGTGTAGTTTGCTCCACACTTCCTCGAGATGGTTCCTTTGCTGCTGATTGTCGTGCAGTTGTTCCTGTTCACCGCAGTCCGATCGGAGAGACTCTTTCATCCAGATGACTGCACCAAACGGCTTGAAATCTTTAACAGGGAGGTCAAACAACACTGTCCGTTCATGGAGAAGGTACCTTGGATTGAGAATGGAATGGGCGATGTTTGCCAGGGTGTGATTCCATGTACAGCTTTTGCAGATTCGGAATGGAAATGCTCAGTGTTGTTCAAATTCGTCTGCTGGCTGCCCACCTAGGACCTGCTTCCAGCACCGCCACCCTCGACTACGATCACCGTCGGCACCATTCGGTACCGTCGCTGTGTGCACGAACTTGCAAAGCCTGAGCGTGCGGGCCTGCTGTGGACAGGGTTTTGGGACGGAGACCCACATGCCAGCATGAATGTCTTGAAGTCGTTTGCGACAGCTACAGATTCTCAGACGCTCCATCCCGACACACACCTCGGTCAACTCATGGACAAGAGCGGGATCCTAAAAGTGTGCGACAGTGAGGTGTTGAACCCCCTCTGGGCCACAGCCAGTGACCAGTTCGCAAGCCATATGAGGTACGAGTGGCAGAAGAAGGTGGTTGTTCTGATCAACAAGAAGCTGCATGGCGAGCGCCCGCTGCTGCACTCAGTTTTCTATCAATTTGAGCTCTATGCGCTGGCATTCAACCACGTTGGATATTTACGGACACAGGCAGGGCCGCAAAACGTGTGGCAGCCGGATATCCAGTTGATTGACCTTCAAGGAACGTGCACAGAATCGATGCCCTTCCTTCAAAAGAGCTTCAAGAACATAGCTGAATCTTTCGGATTTGTTTTCAACTTCAAGCCAGAAAAGTGGTCTTGCGAGGACTGCCCGTCTGGATGCAGCCTTCTCGACCCAGAGATAGTAGCCCTCGGTCGCCAGCCGTAAAGTCATGGCAGTTGTCTCACGTCAGAAAAAGGTTGCTGTTGGCTTCGTCGGAAAAGAGTGCAGCTTGCAGCACTGCAGACACAATCTCGGCACGCACGTGCGCACGAGCTCCCTGACCCACCTTGTATGTTATCACCAGGTTCCCACTCAAATTGATCATCATACTCAGCAGCATCATGACCATCACCTCAATTCATTAATCCGGCGAATAATCAGCAGTGTCATCACCGTCGCTACCTCCATCAATATCATCCTCATTCTCATCCTGGTGATCAGCATCACCAATATCCTCCTCTCAAGGTCCAGCCTCTCCACCACCACCTTCAGCACAATCACCTCGCAGCATTGCTTTGTCGTTCTTCGAGTTTCGAAGAGCCTCAGCTAGCCTGATGAGGCCTTCAGCCTACAAACCGCAACCCTAAAGTCTGAAGCAGCACCCGACGCATGTTTTAGCTGTATTCTGGGAAGATCTCTCTTGAAAGTCATTTAGTATTGGTAGGGGTTTTCGGGGTTCAGGTTTAAGGGTATAGCGGGTACAGTGTCTTATCTAGGTAACATTGACCCTGGGGTTGCAAGCCCCCCGGACGACTGAGCCTCACTCAGGTGGTTGTTGCCTGATTTGAGTAATACGTTTCAGGGTTCTGAGTTAACGCTGTGTCACGTGAACCAACGAAAGCCGCTGCCAGGCAACGGCAGTCATCGTGAAACTGTTGATGGTAGGAAAGCAGAAGGTAGCTAGCTAGGGAGTCTTGTTGAGTAGACGAGGTAGGATTCTTATCAAGCCCGTCTTTTCCGATCCCCAAATAGACCCTCACTACCATAAACTATTTTTGGTAGTGCGAAGCCTAGTACTTTAGAGGGACCCTACGAAAAAGTAGGGTTTTGCACTTTGAGGGAGCCCTTAAAGAATCAGAGGAGGAGAGTTTGGGATTCCGTAGATTGCCATGTGATCAGAGCCTACGCGGGTTCTGCTCAGGCAGTCTCTGCATTGGCCTTGAGCTTTAATTGGAAGGAAGACCTTGTCATAAGTATCTTTGAACTTGGAACCTGTTTAACAACCTGTAAAGTTTCACCCAGTCTTGCGATATCCACACAGTGATGCCACGATGATGCTACTGCACCACATGTCTTGTTGTCTGCGGCATGCAGGTGCAAGGGGTAATTCTATCGGGGCTTTCCAGGCCTCGTGGAGGAGGTGATTCTCCGTCAAGGCTGCCAGTTTACAGTTGGCCGCCCTTGCCCGTATGGCACTCCCTCCAAAAGAGTATCGTCGCTGCTTCCTATCCTCGAGCCTTGCATTCTGGCTTTGTCGGATGATGTGACTTTGGCACAGTATTAGATGTCTTCTTGTCTGCAGCATGATGGGGTATGTGTACATGGGAATTCGAGGCCTCGTCGAGGAGGTGATTCTCCGTCAAGGCTGCCAGTTGACAGTTGGCCGCCCTTGCCCGTATAGCACTCCCTCCAAAAGAGTACCGTCGCTGCTTCCTATCCTCGAGCCTTGCATTCTGGCTTTGTCGGATGATGTGACTTTGGCACAGCACCAGATGTCTTGTTGTTTGCAGCATGATGGGGTATGTGTACATGGGAATTCGAGGCCTCGTCGAGGAGGTGATTCTCCGTCAAGGCTGCCAGTTGACAGTTGGCCGCCCTTGCCCGTATAGCACTCCCTCCAAAACTGTACCGTCGCTGCTTCCTATCCTCAAGCCTTGCAATCTGGCTTTGTCGGATGATGTGACTTTGGCACAGTACCAGATGTCTTGTTGTTTGCAGCATGATGGGGTATGTGTACATGGGAATTCGAGGCTCGTCGAGGAGGTGATTCTCCGTCAAGGCTGCCAGTTGACAGTTGGCCGCCCTTGCCCGTATAGCACTCCCTCCAAAACTGTACCGTCGCTGCTTCCTATCCTCAAGCCTTGCAATCTGGCTTTGTCGGATGATGTGACTTTGGCACAGTACCAGATGTCCTGTTGTTTGCAGCATGATGGGGTATGTGTACATGGGAATTCGAGGCCTCGTCGAGGAGGTGATTCTCCGTCAAGGCTGCCAGTTGACAGTTGGCCGCCCTTGCCCGTATAGCACTCCCTCCAAAAGAATACCGTCGCTGCTTCCTATCCGCAAGCCTTGCATTCTGGCTTTGTCGGATGATGTGACTTTGGCACAGCACCAGATGTCTTGTTGTCTGCAGCATGATGGGGTATGTGTACATGGGAATTCGAGGTCTCGTCGAGGAGGTGATTCTCCGTCAAGGCTGCCAGTTGACAGTTGGCCGCCCTTGCCCGTATAGCACTCCCTCCAAAAGAATACCGTCGCTGCTTCCTATCCGCAAGCCTTGCATCCTGGCTTTGTCGGATGATGTGACTTTGGCACAGCACCAGATGTCTTGTTGTTTGCAGCATGCGGGGGTTTCGATAAATGGAATTTCAGGCCCCGTCGAGGAGGTGATTCTCCGTCAAGGCTGCCAGTTGACAGTTGGCCGCCCTTGCCCGTATAGCACTCCCTCCAAAAGTACCGTCGCTGCTTCCTATCCGCAAGCCTTGCATCTGGCTTTGTCGGATGATGTGACTTTGGCACAGCACCAGATGTCTTGTTGTTTGCAGCATGCGGGGGTTTCGATAAATGGAATTTCAGGCCCCGTCGAGGAGGTGATTCTCCGTCAAGGCTGCCAGTTGACAGTTGGCCGCCCTTGCCCGTATAGCACTCCCTCCAAAAGAGTACCGTCGCTGCTTCCTATCCGCAAGCCTTGCATCCTGGCTTTGTCGGATGATGTGACTTTGGCACAGCACCAGATGTCTTGTTGTTTGCAGCATGCGGGGGTTTCGATAAATGGAATTTCAGGCCCCGTCGAGGAGGTGATTCTCCGTCAAGGCTGCCAGTTGACAGTTGGCCGCCCTTGCCCGTATAGCACTCCCTCCAAAACGGTAACGGCGCTGCTTCCTATCCGCAAGCCTTGCATCCTGGCTTTGTCGGATGATGTGACTTTGGCACAGCACCAGATGTCTTGTTGTTTGCAGCATGATGGGGTATGTGTACATGGGAATTCGAGGCCTCGTCGAGGAGGTGATTCTCCGTCAAGGCTGCCAGTTGACAGTTGGCCGCCCTTGCCCGTATAGCACTCCCTCCAAAAGAATACCGTCGCTGCTTCCTGTCCTCAAGCCTTGCATTCTGGCTTTGTCGGATGATGTGACTGCGGCACAGCATCGCACGAGACCTTTCTTGGTATCGGGGGCTGCATTTTTCTCTATAGCACCCTCCACCGATTCCTGAATTCGACGTCCCTAACGCTTGAGATTTCAGAGAAAGGCCCCACTCCTCAGCTCCGAAGAACTGTCAGTGGTGTCGAATTCTCAAAACGCCAAAGTTGGCACTATAGGTAGAGACCCACAGCGCATGGACACACACACACACACACACACCATGCAGGACTCTAAACACGACATTCCCCCCCGCAAATCCCCAATCAGTCAGGGCATGAATGGTGCCATTCTGGCTTATGGGCAGACCTCCAGTGGCCGGGGTCTCAGCACCCGGTCCACACTTAAGACTTATATGCAGAAGTTCAGCAGGGCTTGGGACCTCGAGTTTCGTGAGGCTTAGAGCGTCTAAGTGCCAATGTCATATGGGTACTTTTTTTTTGAGGGGGGGGAGGGGGGGTCCTGATAATAAGGGTCCTACTATTTAGGGTGCTATATTAGGGTCCCCTATTTTCGGAAACTCCCATATATACCTTTCGGTCCAAGCTACCTATGTATCAAACACACGGCAGGCTTGTCGGGGCTTGGAGCTAAGATGCAGAGCTGAGGCGCAACATTCAGGGCTTGGAGAGGTAAACCTCTGTCTCGAAACCTTTCCGCCTATCCCGTCGCAAGAAAACCCTCAACCGCTGGCTTGGAACCGTACCCGGACCAAGAAACTTACCCCCTTTTTTATAGGGTTCCCTAATATAGTTTCCTTACATAAGTCCCTAAAGAGCTAGGTTGTTTGGAGTTGATCTACATGAGACAGAATCGAAGCGTGGAAGCTTCGTGGCTGGATCGTACCTAGCATAAGAAATGTTTTGGGCTACCAAGACTTGGGTTTAGGGTTAAGGGGGCCCTTACAAATTGAATCTTCGGGTTCACTGTAAGAATCTGGCAGTGCCTTCTGGTTTAAGCATGGTTCTGGTCGGTTTGAGTTAGTTCGTACGACCCAGAGGGCCCCCATTTGCAGATGATATAACATAGTACAATATTACACCCTGATTTTGACAACCACCCACATGCTGCCACATCCCGAGTTTCAGAAAACAGGGGACCCATCACCTGTCCCTCAGCTGCTATGGCCGAGGTTTGCTTCCCGAAGGCTCCATGTACCAATATAGTACATACTCAGGCCTTAAAGTGCCCATATAGGGACCCCTCTAAGGCTTAAGTAGCTACTATAAAGGTACAAGGAGCCTTCGGGTTTAGAGTACTGACAAAGTAAACGCGTTTGGGCGTATGCTCCTGCAAAGTAGGAGTCATTCGGGCAAACCCCGAAAGCCGTTCAACCCCAAACCCTACCTTAAGGCTCCATAGTAGTTCGTTTTGCGGGTTTATAGATAGAATCCTATAGTCCTATAGGGTACTCCCAAAAAGGAACTACTATGGAGCCTTAAGGTAAGGCCTATTTTCGAAAGCACGATCTCCTAAAAGCGGTTGTCCAAGGGAAGACGTTTTCGATCAGCGGCTCGACTGTGGGGGGCCCTGGGAAGGGAAGGGAGGAGCGCCTTTGTTTGCCTCCCAAACCTTAAAAGTTAAAAAGGGTTCTGTAGTTTGGGTGGACCCTTTTTAAGGACTTTGATAACGAAATCATAATAGGAAGGTTTTATAGGGTCCAGGTAGGTGTCGGAACTCTCAACCCCAAACCACAACAGCCCATCCCTGCCCCTTTGTCAGGCTTACGAGTGCTGAAGTTAGCAGTGTAGTCCCATTCTCTATCCTACCCTATGCCTCCTGGGACCCTATTATGGGGTCCTTAAGCGGTCCAGGGCCCCAACTATGAGGTCCTTGGAGGGATAGGGCCAAACCAGGAAAACTGGCTCGAACAAAATCCTGAACTCAATGAGGGCCGAGGTCTGGATTTTCCCAAAGGGTCCATGTACCCAAATAGTATATACTTTGGCCGTAAAGTACTCCCTCTTGTAGGTGCATTGAGCCCAGAGTATATACGGTACCTGCACCCCTCTATACCCCTTTTATCCCTAAACTGTATGGTGCCCTTGAAGGAACCCTAAAGGAACCCTAAAAGGAGCCCTATTTGGGTACATGGACCCTTATGAAGCCTAGGGGTTTCGGGATCTGAGAGTATGAGAAAATTCCCGCCTCGACGTGCGAAGCCCGAGGCAGCCAGATCCGACGGGGAGATGGGAGACAAAGGCCCGTCGGTTTAGGGTTTAGGGCCGTTGTCATCTTCGTTTGTTAAGCTTAGGGTTTAAGGGTTTAGGGGTTTATAGGGCCAGGGGTTTAGGGTTAACGATTTTCGGGTTTTGGGTAGGCGCTGCATGTGGTTTATATGAACCTGGTAAGACCCTATGTCAAGCGCGATCCAACTCCAATAGAAAGCACCATTTGGGGCGCACAGACCCTCATGGGGGTTTGGATTCAGGCTCAGGGTGTCTAATATAGGCGCCCAAATAGTCACCTATACCATTTTTGGGTTTCTTGAGTAATAATTATAGTATAATGTACCCCCAAACCTTTTAATTATGAAGTCCCCTATAGTAGGTTGAAGGGTAGCTTCTGCTGCCTCAAAATCTCGAGCATTTCGGTTCCCAAAGACTTCCGTGTACAGGAGAGCACCTAAGCCCAGAACGCAGAGGCCCCTGAAAAGGGTCCCCTTAGGGGTTCCTATAGGGGTTCCTCCAAGAATTTCAAACATTTTGTCTGCTGCAGAATGGTTTGGGCCTTAGGCTCATCCTGTCAGCTTCGAAGACCCCAGCACGCCAAGCCCCTATTTCTCTCATAGCCGTATAAGAATACTGCTAGCTCTTGGCAAGAACTTGGTCGTGGTGCCCCTGAAACCCCTAAGCCACCTTTGTCCAAGTCGGGGACTAGTCTTGCTTGCTTGTGGTTTGGGCTTCCGGCTACTTGTTTGGAAGCCCGTAGAAAAAGGATCCTGTCTTCCTTCCTAACGGTCGTAACAGGAACCCAGTCCTCTAAACTTGAGCTCTACCCAGAGGCTCCATAGTAGTTCCTTTTTGGGACTACCTTCTAGGATTCTAAAATTGAACTCCAAAAGGGAACTACTTTGGGGCCTTAGGGTCAACATTTTAAGAACCGCCACTACAATGGAACCCTTTGAAGGAGACCCGGAGCCGAGCCAGGTATCATCCACTTTGCCCTGGAGGATCTCTTTACCGAGTTGCAGACGAAGGCCAGCCTTGCCCTAGAAAGGTGTTTAAGGGTCCAGAGGGTTTACGGGGTTGAGGGCTTCGTGCTTATGGTTCAGGTTTGGAGGTTGGGATACTGGGTTTAGGGTCGAGGCAGAATCTGCAAGGTTGAAGGTTCAACGTAGCTTTAAGATCTGCGTTGAGGGTCCGTTCTAACGGGGTTTCAGTATGTTTTTTGTTGGTGTGGTGCAGGCTTTAGTACCTCTATGTATTAGTTCAGTACCCTGTTAGTATATGTACTTTCGCTTCAAAGTATCTTGAAACACCCCTCTGTTTACGGCCAAGTGTACACTGTGTAGCTGTGTGGACCTCGAGGGCTTTGGAGTGCAGATCACGGAGGGATCGGGGCTTCACCTCGACCCTAACAGTTTCATCTAAGGTTTTCGGCCGTTACTTTACCTACTGCTGCTGGGTGTCTAGGCAGGGCTTTCAGGGTTTCAGGATCGAGTTCTTCAAGGCTTGAGCGCAGGGTTACATAGTTTGGGGATTAGGGTGTCAGGGCTTAGAGGCTCAAGCTCCGACTGTATGGATCTTTCGTATAAGGGTGCTCTTCTTCGAACGAGTTCAGGGGTGGGCCATATTAGAAGGCCCCATTCCAAAGCCCTGAAAACGTAAGGAACACACGGCCACAAGTTCGTTGTACGGAAGCCAGCGGAAGTCATACGGTTGATGATATAAACCCTGCATTACCCAGAATAAGGAATATACCATAATTCCCATAGTTTAGGGTCCTTAAGGTAATGCAGGATTGATATCATCAACCGTAGGAGTCGGTTTAAGCTACGGCTTTTCGGCTTCACTGTTCCGTGTTTGCAAAAACTCAGCGGAGGGCTTTCGATCCGGTTGTTCAGGATCTTTGTTGAGATCTGCATCATAAGAGCAATATAGTAATACAATCATAATAGTAATATAGTAGTATCATAATACTTCTCTGACATTTCTTCAAGGCATCAGGTTTTTCTTGCAAGCTTAGAATCAAGTTCAAGCAATGGATCCACCTTACCCTTCAACTCGGCCTCCTGCTCCCTGAGGCATCGGCCTTGGACAGCGTGGAGTATTTGGTTCGCATGCCTTGGCCTTGGCTGGGAATGCTCCTAAGGCTAAGGGAAGGTTAGCGGATGTGAGATACTTGTCTGAACATGGGAGTCCTTCCCACTGGATATCCAAAAGCATGACCCTAAGGGTCCACATACTCTACCATTATGGAATTAAGTCCCAAAAGACCATCCCTGTTATATAAGGTTTTGGGGACCTAATTCCATAATGGTAGTACAGGTGGACCTTCTGGGTGAGAATCAGGTCCTACTGCGAGCTCTACATGGAGCGAGTCCGGGAGCTTACTCTTGCATTCTAGGGTTTAGGGGTTCAGGGTTTAGTGCCTGAGATTGGGAGTCTATCATAGCTGTTGTTAAGGGTTTAGGGTTTAGGGTTTAGGGTGAGATACTGTGTCAGTGTTTCTTCGCCTGTGTGAACTGCTCCAAATTCTTTGTTTTCTGTGTTCAGGCTTGACTGCTGGAACCTGGGCGCTGTAACCCTCTATACACCGTATATATAGCCCCGGAAAATTCGAAACGTAACTCTACCAAGCCCTACATAACACTGCTTATAGCCCCTATAAGCCCTAAACCTCCAAATCCTAAACCTAATTAAGCCCTAACCCCTAAACCCTCAACCCTAAACCCTAAGCCCTACCTTAACCCCAAATAACCTACCCTTTGAAGGACTTGTATAAAGAAATCATATTAGAGAACCCCCAAAAGGAAGGTTCTTTGGGGGTCCAGGTAAGCCCTAAACCCCCAAACCCTAAACCTAATTAAGCCCTAACCCTAAACCCTAAACCCCTAAACCCTAAACCCTACAACTGCCCAGGTGAACGACCTCGCCCTAACCCTATAAACCCTAAACCCCAGAGCCCTAAGCCCTACAACTGCCCAGGTGAACGACCTCTTGCGCAAGATTGGCCCCCAGAGCTGGCGACTCAGCGAGAGGTCGGTGGAGCTCGAGCCTGCAAGACTCCAGCGGTTTGGGGTTTATGAGGTTTAGGGTTGAGGGGCTCCAGGGTTCAGAGTTGAAGGTCTAGGGTTTAGGGTTTTAGGCTAGTTAAGGGTGTTGTTCAGGGTTTGTGGTTTAGTTTAGGGTTTGAAGTCTGAACAGACCCTTAGAACCCAGGTAACAATCAGGGCAGCCTGGGCGAAATACACCCAGTGTGGTAGGGGCATTATTCCCGCCTCTATAGAGGTGCACTGGGTGTACGAGGCATACATTAATCGACCCGTTTAGGGTTGTGGGTTTGGATACTATAGGGGCCTAAACAATTACCCAATATTATGTTGGGGGTTCATATCGAAATTACAGTACAATGGGCCCCAAAACCCGATTCTAAGTTTTAAGGCCCCTATATTATACTACCCTTACAGTACCCTAACAGTAACCCTTATAGTATCCCCCTTTAAAGGAACCCTCTTCTACTTATTAAGGCCGTTCTGACAGTGTGTGCAAGCATGGGCCAGGCGAAGATCGCCACGAGGCATTTTGACTTGAGCAGATCTTGAAAAGGGGCCCAGCAAGGTTGCAGCAATTGTGTAGGCCCCCGTTGAAAAACATCCTACTACTAAGAGACTTAAAGGCCCATGATATGGGTTGTAATCGGACTGCCAACGACTCAATAATGCCTTCTAAAGCCCCCAATAATACCTATTTAAGCCCATAATGCTCAGAGGGGAGCATTGACCCTAAATCCTGCCTAGGCCCCCGAAGGGTTTAGGATCTTAGTGCCCTTTACTAGGTAGGGCTTTGGGACATTTTATATTTTCCCTTATTGGGAGGATCTTATTTACTAATATTTTTCAAAGGCTCTAAAAGCCCCACCTAGTTTAACTACACCCGTGTTTGTTCACCCTGCCTCGACCTCAGATCTGGGTTTGTCTTTTCCAACCCGGGTTCCATGAGCTTCACGATGTCATGGCGATTCCCTAAACCCTAAACCGTAAACCCAAACCCTTGACCCTAAACCCTAAACCCCTCAACCCTCAACCCCTCAACCCCTCAACCCTAAACCCCTCAACCCTAAACCCTATTCACTATGACATAGAACAGACAAACCAAGCTCGGAAGCAGGCTCTGGCAACCTGTCGGCACGGAAATCCGAGCTTCTTTCGCCGGAAGGTTCATGGTTAGTTGTAAGTGGGGTTGTAAGTCCTCTAATATGGCTTATAACTATAGTTATCCTACTTATACCCCGACTTATAACTACCCATGAACCTCCAAGCACGGCCTCTTTTGGAGCCCTGTTGGGCTGACGTGAAGCCCTGGCAGTCGGCACGAACCCCTGGAGCATACCGTCGCGAGTTCGCAGGAACTCCAAACTTTTCTGGCACCCCGGACACTACCCCAAGGGTCCAAAGGACCCAATAATTAGGTACTCGGTTTTAGGATAGTAGTTGTGTGGATTAGGATTTGGGAGACTATGCGATTATTAGCTACTTGGACCCTTGGGGCTAACGTACCAGCAAAAGCTTAAGACTCCACGTAGCCCGCGGTAGGTATGATTTATAGACTCAAGCCCCCCAAGTAGGGACCATCCTGCCCACTCGGAGTCTCAGGGAACGGCTTTGAGCAGCAATTTCACGGCACAACTAGCAAGTAGTAATGTCATCTTTGCTTCGACCCAAAACCCAAACCCTTAAACCTAAACCCTAAACCTGACACCCGAAAAGACCGACATCTTAGCTACAGCCGTCAGGAAACAAAGCAAGCCAAAAGTTCCTGCAGCGTCTCCTTAGGGTTTTATTTTTGTTTATTTTTGTTCATATAGAGAATATTGAAGATTATATTTTTATTATGGTTCTAAGCGGGGTATAGAAAAGCCCTAGATCCATCCCGAAACCCTAGAGCCCAGAGGGCCTGAATGCTGTGAAACCCTAAACCAAGCCCTAATCCAGAAGCTAACCCAGCAGTCGAATCAGTGCATGGACAGGTTTGAATGTTAGCGTCAGATTTAAAGGTTTTCATGGGCCTCTAGCGGATGTATTTGTTCTTTTTCTGGGTGTGAGGTGTGGTTTTTGTTGGCTCTGTCAAGGTTTTTAGAGTGTTTAGGAGTTAGGGTTCTATCATCTTGCTGTCTTAGACTGCTGCTTACGAGACTACCTTGAGAGGAACTGTCGTCTGGAGCAGGCGTTAAATTCAGTGGGGACAACGAACGATAAAAAGGGCTTGGAGGGGTTAGGCGACAGTAAACTACGGTAAACTACAGAAAGTGGGAACATCATTAGCCTCATACCCTTAAGGAAAAGCAGCGAGGGTAGCAGCATTGATCATTCTTGTTCCATGCTCCAACTTTTGCCAACATTGGTCTGGAGTTTAGGGTTCATGCCTTAGAAGCTGCCCCCACCCTGTAATAGTGACTATAAGGATTAAATTAGGGCCCGGGCCCTATTATATTCCTATTATACCACTATTACAGGGTGGGGGCCCCTTCTAGTTCATGCCCGTCTCATGTATGCAGGCTCCAAAACCCTACACCCTCCTTCGCTTGAGCCTAAACCTCTGGCAGCCCTTACCCTGCCGGTTCATGTACCCACATGGGTGGTTGTCAAAATTAGGGTCCCTTTTTGGTTCACTATTATAATACGACACCTATTATTTAGGGTATCCCAAAAGGGACCCTAATTTTGACAACCGCCTGCATGATATATACTTTGCCTCTAGAGTACCTCCCTAGGAAGGACACGTCTACATAGGTTCATGGACTCTATAAAACCTCATGCTGCACTCAGGAAGTTATTGACCCTACCACAAGATATGGAGCCTCCTATCATTCAATCATACAAAGGTCATGGACAACAAACCCTCCAAACCTAATTAGCATCATTGTGATGCAAGGCCCTAAGGCAACCGTTCAGCAATGTTCGAAAGGGTACATGGACCCTGAAGGTTACTAAGAGGGTCCATATACCCTAGTACTGTGGAATCGGGTCACCCGAAACCATGATGATAATGGTCCTTTGGGGCCTTAAATCCATACTGCAGTAGTATCTGTGAACCATCTCCGCTATAGAACCCTAAGCCTTCAACCCTTAAACCTTAACTCCTAAACCCTAAACCCTAAGCCCCCTTTGGAATTGAGCACCCGCCGACTATGGCCTCAACACCTCCGGGACAAATCTAAACCCCTAAGCCCTACCTGTAGCCGAAAAGACCTACCTTTTTTCAGGAACTATACATAGAACCCATAATAATGAACCCTAAAAAGTTAGGCCCTTTGGGCAACCGGTAAACCCTCGACCCCTAAACCCTAAAAACCAACGAAATCCTGAAGAAACCCCCCTAGATGTTCCTTTGGGCTACAAGGGAACCCTGGACCCCTAAAGGGAACTCCAGAAAGTTGGAATATGGATTAACGGTAGGATCCCCTATAATTCACCTTAAAGGGGTTACGATAATGATATTCCAACTTTCTGGCTTCTACTGTAAACCCTAAAACCAACGAAATCATGCAGAAACCCCCGAAGATGCTCCGGGCCCCTTAGGTCAGAACCTGGCCGTGAAGGAAGATCCGGAAGGCGGTTCCTTGTTTTTTGTTGTTTTTCCCTTATAAACTTAGGGATACTTAAAAATTATTGTCAATTTTTGGTTACTATAATCTCTAAGAAACGGCTCAAAACATAATGTTTGCTAGGGTTCTAAGTTTAGTATAGTTAAGTTCGTGTAAGGGTTCCTTGCAGAAGTTCCTTATAGTTGGGTTACGAGTTCCTGACAGGATCTGAACCGTGTTTTGCGAGATTCGCATAAGGTTTCATAGGGCTCACGTACCTGAGTTGTGTAGTAGGGTCAGGGTATATACTAACACCGTACTTGGAGCCATAGAGATTTGTAAGCAAAGAAGTCTAGGGTGGATTCGCAGTTCAAGGGTTTGGAGATTCCGAGCGAAAGCTTGTACCTAGACTCAGACCCCCAAAAGTAGGTAAAATCATGGCCCAAAGCCTATAAGAGGCTGTTATTCTACATACTTTTGGGGTACGGTTTAGGGTTTAGGGTTAAACCCTAAACCCTAAACCCTGTGGTTTTCTGTGCTTCATGGTGTTGTGCTTCAGGGGTTAGGCCCTCAGGCTGCAGCTTACGTCTTTAGCGCTTAAGGGTCTAGGGGTTGGTGGTTTAGGGCCTCCCTTAACCAAAAATAACCTCAATTTAAGGACTTAAATAAAGAAGTCATATTAGGGAACCCTAAAAAGGTAGTTTATTTGGGGTCCAGGTCGGGTCTAGCTCAGGATTCCTTGAGCGATGTTGATAATTTGGTGCTCGTGCTTCGGATACGCCACGTCTTACCTATAGTCTCCATTGTAGTTCCTTTTCGGGGTTACCTTTTTGGATCCTAATTGTATATTTGGTTAAACCTGAAAAAGGAACTACAATGGAGACTATAGGTAGAGGACAATGCGGTTATCCAGGCAACGAAGTACAACTTGCCAGTCCAGAAGTAGAGAAGCTCGAAAGATTGAACAGCTACCCTAGGGTTTAGGGTTTAGGGTTCTCATACCCTTAAGGGAGCATGTGGCTTCCCGACACGAATCATCCGAAATACATGTTGCAACTATCTGAGGTTCACCATACATGTTCCACTACGACGGTTAAGAGCTGGGTTGAGCGAAGAACCGGAATGCTCATGGCTGCGGACATATTTCCGCAATTTCCAATGCCCAACATTTTAAACTTTTGGGGCCCTTCATAGTCTGATAGTCTTCTGCGAGTTTAAGCTTGTGTTTCTGCGGCTTATTGGGGAAGTACGTGGCTGCATAGTCTTGCATGCCATGAAAACAATCGTCTCTAATGCTGTTGTCAGCAATTGCTTTTCTGAGCATCACTACTGTTAACACGACGACGGCGACAGCTGCTGCTACCACGGCGACTGGTATTATCACTGGTAGCAGCATTTGTTGTAGCGTTAGCAGCACTAGCAGCAGCAGTAGCGGCAGTAGGGGTGGTCCCGGTCGTCGTCGCCTAAAGTGTCGTGGTGGTACTCTTCCTGTCATGTCTGCGTAGCCCTCATCCGGGTCTGTGCCTGTCACGACTCCGAGTGTTCCTGGGAGGTCGAGGGTTCTACGCCGACGGATTGAAAGAGAAAATCGTGTCCTCTGCAGACGAAGTGGGAGCCCTGAGCGGCTCTTGGGTGGGAGTTTCGGGAATTAGGGTACCTATTTTCGGGTCCCCATAACAAGGATCCTACTATTTATGGTGCTATTGATCTTAGGGTCCCCTAATTTCGGAAACTCCCGACCAGCTTACTTTTTCAAGAGTTATACAAGGGAATCATGCTAAGGAAACCTAAACAGGTAGCTCTTGGGGTCCAGGTAGGTCTTAATTAGGCAGGTACCGCAACGATAACTAGCATCTAAAGTTCTAAAACCTACAACCTGACACAGGCATCGTGGGAACACTTCTCATGCTTGAAATCGTAGCTTGGTTAGTCTGCGCGAACACCTTAAACCCGAACGTAGAGCCCTGGTTCCCTCAACCCAAACCCTGAGGCTCAAAATGGCCCAAAAGCCTTAAACTATGAGTCCTTAGAGCCTTAGGGAAACCCGAAACCCCCGAAACCTTGAACCCCTACCCTAGGAGCTGAAATGGTGGGTTCACACATAGGCTTAGGTTCATTTCCTCAGGGTCCACGATTTTTGTTGAGACAGAGGCATGTACATGTTCTTTTGTACACATATTCGTATGTGTGTATACATAACATAACATAGTCAGAGATAGAGGGAGGCAGCGTGAGCCCGGCGGTGCTTTGCTGGTCTTCTGGTCGTCTGCTACGCGTGATTCCTGCATATAAACCCTAAACCCTCAACCCCTAAGCCCTAAACCCCAAACCCCCAAACCCTAAACCCTAAAACCCGAAAACCGAACCCCCTAAACCCTAAAACCCTAAACACCTGTGCATATCGTATCGCTGTTTCAGGGCTGCAGTCTCATGGATCCTTTGCTGTCGGATCTCATGTGCACACCCAAATTTGCGAGCTACATGGGAGTTTCCGAAAGGGGTACCTTGTTTTGGGGTCCTTATAATAAGGATCCTACTATATATGGTACTATATTAGGGTCCCCTATTTTCGGAAACTCCCACATACTAAGTTCTTGTTGAGGAAGTTGGTTTAAGCTACCATAATAGGGATGATCTAGAGTAAGTAATGAGGTTTCTTTTTTTTATGGCAACACAAATAAATTAGATCCATTGATAAGAACCCAGCACAGTACAAAGGGGCTTCCGTGCAGCAGCTGTTCTTACATGTCCCATAGGTCCCATATAGGTCACTTAGGATCTTCTCTGTGCGTGTGTTCCTATAGAACCCTTGTGGAAATGTTTCAGGCAACCCTGTTCAATTCGGAAGGCCACGGTATCAATTTAGGCATCTTCCCAGAGACTCCAATATCCCTTAATTAAGGAATGCACCTTAAATCATATTAGGGATCCTACTATAATTTCAGCTATACTTCTTAATTAAGGGAGAATAGAGTCTCTGGGTTTTGAGACTTTGGACCTCTGGTCTCAAGGTCCTTGCGATCTTCACAGAGGCCGAGAAGAGGCGGCGCGTGGCCCATACTCGATACAACGAGGCAGGGTGCCCCCCCTAAAACCTGAACCCCAGACCCTAAACGGCATAGACCCTGAACCCTAAACCTCATGCACTCTGCAGATCGAAAAGGAGCCCTTAAGAACAAAAACTAAACCTCAGAGTTAAATCTGGGGGGGTAGGGCCTGGGGTTCATTAAACCTTATAAGACCCCCAAACCTAGGCCGTGAACCTTACTAGGACTTGCACAACTATCCTTCCGTGGAGCCCTTAGGGTGAGCTCCAAATCCTAAACGCGAAACAGGGTTACCCAGAGGCCCCATAGTAGTTCCTTTTTGGGATGACCTCATAGAATTCTATAGATGAACCCCCAAACAGGAACTACCATGGAGCCTTAGGTTAAAGCCTAAACCCCTAAACCCTGAGCCCTACATCCCAAACCCGAACCTGCTGTGTAATTCAGATCAGCCCGGGGCTTCGGTGTGTAATACAGGGGTTCCACAGGCCCAGAGAGCCCAATACCCTCAATTAAGGAATATGGCTTAAATTATATATAGAGGGCTTCATATTATGATTTAAGCTATATTCCTTAATTAAGGGTATTGGGCTCTCTGGGGGGCTTCGGGTTTAGGGTTGAGGTTTTAGAGTTTAGCGGGTTTACGGTTTCGGTTTCAAAGGGGCTTGCGCAGGGGTTGTAGTTATGAGGGATTCAGCTTGCAGAGTTTGCGGGCTAGTCTAGTCTTTGAGGCATACTACAGGTGGTCCTTATAGAACCACACCACAACATACTGCAAGACCCTATATTGCGCCAACTCCAGGAAGCATAGAAGTTGCAAAGTGTGAGTAGTCGCACGCCATTGATTGCAAAGTACATGCAGCCACTTCCCAGGCTCCCGGGTTCGATCATTCAAGTCCACGTCTTATCGGGTTTTCAGGATTTAGGGTTGCGATGTTTGGTGTTTCTTCACGCCCTGAGCCCTAACAACCAAAACCCGAACTCCTCAAGCCCTGAATCCTACAAGGATTCGCGGAGCTCTTATAGGAAAACTGACATGGGTGGTTGTCAAAATTAGACTTAATATTTAGGGAACCTACAAAAGAGCCATGATGTTGACAACCACCCACATAGTAACTCGTATGGAACACTTTGGAGGCCCGGCCCAAACCCTCAACTGCCCCCCCAACCCTAAGCCCTAAAACCCTAAAAGCCTAAACCCTAGACCCGTAAACCCTAAACCTCAAGGGCCCCAAACCCGAGCATAAAGCTGGAATTTAAATCCCCCAACCCTAGGAGAGCCCTCGCCTTGAGGTTTCTTCTCGGTCTCACACGCTGCTCACACTTTGCGTGGAGTGCTCCATGCCTTTGGAGGCTGCGTCCAACGAGTTAGCAATCCCAAAGGCTCCATGCACCCTTATAGTAGATAATTAAGCCTTAACGGGGTCCCTATATGGGTACTTTAAGGCCTGTGTATATACTATATGACTATATGGGTACACGGAGCCTTAGGGAATAATGCACCCTTCCTTAGAGTATTTTCTTCATGTGTACCCAACTCCAACAAGTCGAGGACTTGCATTGCACCTAAACACAGGCCGGAGTCGGAGTTTGTATGTATGAATGTATGTCATGCATTATATGTGTGTTTGTTTGTATGCATGCATGCACATCCGTCTGTCTGTCCTTATGTAGGTATGTAGGCACCCAGGTATGTAGGTTTGTAGGTTGGTATGTACGTATGCATGTATGTGTGTGTGTATGTATGTATGTATGTATGTATGTATGTATGTATGTATGTATGTATGTATGTATGTATGTATGTATTTTTGTATGTATGCATGTAACATAGGTAGGTAGCTCGGTAGGTAGGTAGCTAGTCAGGTAAGTATGTATGTGTGTATGCGTGTATGTATGTGTATGCATGCATGGATGCATGTACGTACGTATGCATGCATGTATGTATGTCTGCATGCATGCATGTGTACAGTTGTATGTGTATATATTATGTATATATTTAACCTCTATATATATATATATATATTTATTTATGTGGTTTTTATGTATATATTTGTTTGTTTACCCACACATTATGTCGGCAGCTGGACCCACTCTGAGCTGTTCCCTTAGCCGCTTTGTGCTTTGAGGTTTCGGGTTGAGGATGAAGCCTGAGTCCTAAGCTGCATCCGTAAAACTCTGAGCCTTAAGCCCAAAGCTGGTTGTCAAAATTCGGGTCCCTTTTTGGGGTACTCTAAATATTAGGTGCCGTACTACATTAGGGACCCAAAAAGGGACCATAATTCTGACAACCACCCAAAAGAATCTCGAAAAAGCGGTTTCGTAGGGTTCAGGTGAGCTCCTGCATCCGAATGACGAACTTTCATCGCGGCCGCCAGGCGGATGCCCCCCTGGGCGAAGACAACGAGCCAGCCCAGGTGCGCGCTCCACGCCACCCAACGAACGTTGAACCCAGAGACTCCAATACCCCTTAATTAGGGAATATTCCTTAAATCATATTAGGGATCTTACTATAGTTTAAGGTATATTCCTTAATATGGGATATTGGAGTCTCTGGGAAATGTGCTGTCCCACTGTAGCTTGTTTTTTGTTTTTGGGATGGCGCTATACAGTGCTTATCGGGTTTTGTGATTGTTTTGGCATCTTGAGTAACGTGATTAGCCGAATAGCCCCCAGTGTCATGCTTCGGGGGTCTTTATGCGTTGTCTCTGTGTTGAAACGCCCAATCAATAAGGACTCCTCTACTGATGTACAGCCATTCTTCTTCAGGTATACGTATAGTCTTTCCTCAATCACGGTTTGGAAGCTGTAGCAAGCAGGCCTGGTAGACAACGCCATTAACAATAACAATAAGGGTACTAATCAGCCCGGTACTGCGAGCTTATGTCAGTGTTCGCCGAGTTCAGGTTTTTACGCTTCGGGAACCTGACCGCGAAATGCTAAATCCCAAACTCCCAAAAAAGCCAAGCCTGCCACACCCTGATTTCCCCAAACCCCTGAATCATGGGCCCAAGTTTCAACCAAGAGCTCCACAATCTCATTTCAGGGAATAATGAGTCATCCCTTGCTGCAGGAACTCAGCAGATGACCCAGGAGTGGCGACTCCGAGCCACGCAGTAGAAGCTCTGAACTAAACCAATCTTGCATTGCCTTTGCCCTAAATCCCTAAATCGCAACTCACTCGAAATCTTGAGCTTCAACCACCGGAGTCTAGAGACTACAAACTACAATAATGATAAGTAGTAATACTAATTAAAGCTACAAAGTCATGAGCCCAGAAACGAAGACGGTACCCTCCCAAGCCAACAAAATCACCAGAATTCTCACACCTATCAAGAAGTAAAGCAAGCAACAAACAAGCTTAACAAGCCCAAAGGCTCCATGTACCTTTACAGTAGATACTTAAGCCTTACAGGGTCCCTATATGGGTACTTTAAGGCCTAAGTATATACTATATGGGTACATGGAGCCTCAGGGAAGAGACTCCGGGACTCCGGGACACCCAAAGCCCGAAACCCGAGCCAGGCTCCTCCTGGTATAGGAAATCCCGCTGATCTGCAGCTGGAAAATGGCCCACCAAAAAAAAATAATGGCACAAAACCCTAAACCCTAAACCCTAACAAAAAAAACGGGACAGGTGACCCGCATCGGCCGCTTGGTTATCGTTGACCTGGCCGGGAACGAACGCTTGGAGGACTGGAAGTTGGGGCGGTGGGTGGCTTTTGTACGGATGGTTGAACGGTTTAGGATTCAAGGGTTTAGGGTTCAAGGGTTTAGGGTTCAAGGGTTTAGGGTTCAAGGGTTTAGGGTTTGAGGGTTCAGAGTTTAAAGGTTTCGGGTTTATATATTGGGTTGAAGGGCTTTTTTGAAGATATCGACAACTTTGTTGAGGGTTTCGTAGTGGCGTTGACGGAGAGGTCCTCCTCTTGAGGACCCGACAAACCAGGATCGACGCATTATATGAGCATTGATTCCCCTAAGGCTCCATGTACCCAAATAGTAGGTACTTAGGCCTTAAAGGGGTCCCTATATATGTACTTTAAGGCCTAAGTAGCTACTATATGGGTGCATGGAGCCTTTGGGGAGGGAGGGAGTGGCGATGCCCCAGGCTTGGGAAAAGTCCCTCCGCCCCAGGCCTATCCCGAAATCGCTGCGAATCTCAGCTCTGAAGCCTATGTTCAATGTGTGTCATTCGTTGTGTGTGTGTGTTTAATGTTTTTGAGGTGGGGAAGGGGGTCCAGATGATAAGAGGGGTGTTTCCGCTCGTGGTGAAATGTAGAGGTCTGAATACTGAGTATTTGTAGCCACTGATTCCCACGGTTCCTGCGTAGTGAATCCTGCGTTATGCGCCTCAACTATGTTGTACTTGTTGAGGCAGAAGGTAGCAGTATCGGAAGTCTTGAAACTGTGTGTTCATACTTATCTGAGTCGGTTCCCACTCGCTGTTGATTGTCCTACTTCGTTTATCTACTCGTGTTGTCATATTCATAATTCCGATCTGCCTAAACAGTGCTTGTCAAACGGAGCTGCGTGAAGCGCCGACCTAACGCTGCCTGAACCGCTCCAGGTTTAGGGTTTCGGGCTTTCTTAAACTCCGAACCCCCAAACTTCTTTAGACTCCGATACACGCACTCGCTTGGAGGTTCATGGGTAGTTATAAGTAGGGTTACAAGTAGGATAACAATACTTATACCCCATATCAGTGGACTTATAAGCCCCACTTAAAACTACCCATGAACCTCAATCAGCCCCAAGCTGAAATAGACCTTCAATTGGGGAGGGGGGGAATGTATCACGAAGCCTGTTAGCAAGTCTAAGGCTTAGGAGCCTAAATGCTTAGCATAAACAAGGTGTCATGTCTGTGTGCCTGTATCCATTCAAATACACATAACATACATACATACATGCATACATGCATGCATTGCGTACATCCTTACATACATACATACATCCAGACATGTGTGGATGCATACATACAAGCATGCATGCATGCATACATACATTGCATACACACATACATGTTGCATTGATGCACAGACACCGCCTTTGTGAAAATTACTATTCAACGGCACTGCGCGGATGATCTGCTAGCGTCTAAGTCCAAAACACCAGCGTTAATGTATGCTTCTAGGAGTACCAGTAGCCCGAAAGAAGCCTTTGAACGTAACGCAATGAGGAGCCCCGATTCTACAAGATTCGCTGCAACAAGGGAGGGGGATCTATAAGCGGTCCTTTAAAGGGATCTAGAAAGGGTGATCTACAAGGGGTCCTTTAAAGGCATCTATAGGGTTTAGGGGTTCCGGGCTTAGGGCAGGATGCTGAAGTGTTTTTAGCAGGCCGGCACTGAGTACGTTGCGGAGTCCAGCAGCATCAACAAGTCCTTGTTCTTCTTGGGCAAGGCCTTGGGTTTAGGGTTTAGGGTTCAGGGTTTGCTCGACCCCAAAGAACCTCCTTTTTAGGGCTCCCTAATATGATTTCTGTGTATCAGTCCATGAGAAGGTAGGTTATTTGGGGTTAAGGTAGGGTTTGCTTTGTTGAGGGAGGGGGGATATAGGAAATATGGAGGTCAAACATCCGTATACCACCGACAGTCACTTACATGGGACGCAGATCTGAAGTCTGTAGCCTCCGCAACGCCACGCGGTTTAGGGGTTAGGGTTGTAGGCTTAGAGTTTATGGTCAACGAACACAGAATGGACAAGGGACCCCAAGACATACAAGCTGCCTACCCTAAGGCTCCATGTGCCCATGTAGTACAGTAGAAGCCAGAAAGTTGGAATATCATTATCGTAATCCCTTTAAGGTACATTATAGGGGATCCTGCTATTAATCCATACTCCAACCTTCTGGAGTTCCCTTTGTGTACGTGAGCTAGCCGAGGCCCGGCCTTTAAAGGGGTTCTTACATTGGTGCATGCAGGTCTGTGTCTAGGATGCCCAGTAGTACCCTTATTACCTTTTTGTAGTCCTAGGTTCCTTATAAAGATACCCAATACCAAAAAGAGAGCCCTTTTTATTCTTAGGTTACTGGGTATCCTAGGTGTGTAGACGAATCCCTTCCCCCTTCTATTAACGTCCCTTCACTAATGAAAACACACACATTGCGGCGAATCCTCCTGAATTCAGCCCTGGTCTTTTATAAAACCTGTTCTGATTTCGGGGGGAGGGTTTCGAGGCTCCAAATACCCTCAGAGCACAGAAAGAGCGAGAGCAACAGCAAGAGCAAATCAAACCACATTCCGAGTTTCTATCGGGGGAGGATCGGGCCCCCCCTCGTTTAATGTTACTTAGGGGCACTTAGAAATAATTTTTAATCTTTGGTTATTATAATCCCTAAGAAACAGCTAAAATTTTAATTTTTGCTAGGGTTCTAAGTTCAGGATAGGTTAGGGGGAAGGGATTACATACGGCCTTAGGGCTAGTCGTATCCTGACTGTACGGACTCAATGTAATTTACCCCTGGGGTCAAAACCCCTAAGGTGCCGAGTATGAGAGCAATACCTACCTCATGCTCCAACGTCTATATAGACAGCTGTGCAAGTAAACCCCTGAACCGCCCTTGAACTTATACTTAGTAGCTGAGTGGATACATTTTGCACCTTTTGGGATAAGATTACCCACCATAACACTAAAAGTGTACACGTTTGGGGCTTATGAACTCAGCAACTAAGTATAAGCACTACTGCTGATGGACAAAATCCTGCATTACTTTAAGGACCCGAAACTATGGGAATTATTGTATATTGGCTATAATGGGTAATGCGTCCATCAACAGTACGCAGCCAAAGCGTAAACCCGGTGGAGCCCAAGAGTTGAGCAGGAGAGGCTCAGAGAGTGTCGACGGTTTCTCAAAAGGGGAAAAGGAGGGACCCTTTAAAGGAATCCATAGGGATTCTATAAGGGTATGTAGGGTTTAGAGTTTAGGGGTTTAGGGGGGTTAGGGGAAAAGGACGGACCCTTTAAAGGAATCCATAGGGATTCTATAAGGGTATGTAGGGTTTAGAGTTTAGGGGTTTAGGGGGGTTAGGGGAAAAGGAGGGACCCTTAATGGGGACCCCTACCCTATAATGGGGATATAATGGCTATATTAAGGATATATACCTAGGGGTCCTTATTAAGGGTCCCTCCTTCTACCCTTGGAGTTTCGGGTGTGGTAGTGGTGGCCTTACCCACAGACTCTCTCGTGTAGAACCCTAAGTAGCGTGATCCTTATTATAAGGACCGGTAAGGTACCTTCGTTTTCAGAGAGGCACATATACTTTGGGCCAAAAGGTGTAGCGTACGGTCACGTGGGACCGTTTGGATCAGAGATGCGGATGCAGAGATTCCTTAAGGGTAAGACGACCAGATCCCACAAGGGGGGGTTACTACTTCATGAATCTGTTTCTGTACATGTGACCTGATGCCACCCCCCTCAACACACAGACACGCAGGTTTCTCTGCTTCTACCACCCTAGTGGTAAAAGTCAGCACTAGATGAGACCTGTGTAAGGCCAAAGCAAACAAAGTGTACATGTGGGTGGTTGTCAAAGATATGGTCCCTTGTTGGGTCCCTTACATAACACGGCACCTAATATTTCGGGTACCCAAAAAGGAGCATAATTTTGACAATCACCCATGTAGACGCTTGTACCGGACTACTAGACCCGACTTGCTTGCAAAGGCTCCCAGCAGCCCAAGAATCCGCTGTTGTAAAGGTCTGTCCTTGGGCTCTAAAGGATACGTTCTGAGACCCCGAACTCTGAAATGCCGAAGTCTAGAATCCCAAACTCCGCGTTCTCAAGCCTCAGGCAGGGGATGCTCTTAGTTTTCGGTTCCCCCAAACTCCTAGTCTAAGGTTTTCGGGCCCTCATACTTGGGATCAAGAGTCAAACCCTAAACCCTATAAGCCCTACCTTAACCCTGAATAACCTACCTTTCCAGGGCTCCTTATTACAGTTTCTTTATATAAGTCCTTAAAAATGTAGGTTCTTCGGGGTTAAGGTAATAGCTGCAGGTCATCGAGAAGCTGGCAGCGCGGGCCTGCAGAGGCATGGCGCAGGCCGGGCCATGCTCAGGTGTTGAGCATTGCCTGGACCAAAAGTATGTGCGTGGTTGTCAAAAATATGGTCCCTTTTTGGAGCCTGAATATTATGTGCCCTATTATATTAAGGACCCAAACAGGGACCCTAATTTTGACAACCACCCTGTAGAAAACGGCAATTGATAGGTTTTGGGCCATTGGTTTACATACTTGTTTGGGGGTTTAGGTGGTCTTGAACTGTACATAGTGACGCTATCGTGTTTTGGGTTCTTTTTCTTCATACCGGTCTCTACAAGGTCCTCCATAAGGGCTACTGAAAGCAACTGTACGAAGTGCCCCGTACATCCTCTTGGCCTCTTGTGGACTTTCGCTACATTAATATAAGCCAGCCTGGCAGACTTGCCCTGAACCCCAACAGAAAGAAGACTAACCTCTTAGGGGGCTCAAGTACCTAAGAACCATGTACTCTCCAAAGTACTAACCTACATAACTAGTATCCTTAAAACCGAAGGCCTAGCTGTTGGGTCCTTATTCTGTTCTGTTCTATGCTGTTTTACTATATCACACCATAGCATATTATGATGTGCTAAACTATCAAGAACTATATCATGTCATATTTTGTTATGCCACAGTGTTATTTCTGTTGAGAGCCCCAAGGTGGGTCGTTGACGACCCTTTCCGTATCATGCGATGATAGAGCACAGGCAGATCAGATTGCCCAATGCCGTGCGTCAGATAAGAAGACTTGTGGGCTTGGGGTTAAGGGGTTTGAGTTTAGGGTTTAGGCTTTTATATATGGCCCTGAATTCCAAACCTTAAACCCTACACCTTGAGGTTATTCAAGAATCAAGCAAACCTTGAAAGGCCTCAGAGGATGGCGACCACGTCCCTTTTCGAGATTCCAAGTCCGGACCTCGTTCATGCTGGGTGCTTTCGGCGTGTACTTAGGGCTTTGGGATTCTAGGGCTTCAATGCTTTCTTGTTTAGGGCTTTAGGCCTGTAAGGCATCCGTCGGGCTTCTTGGCTTAGTGATAAGCTTAACCGTTTCGGTGGTTTTGCAGGCATTGGGGTTTAGGGTCCAGGTATGTGTACATGGAGACCATTATCGTGGACAGCCTGGGATTTTTATGCTTCGGCTTCAGGTGGGTACATACACCTTAAACCCTGAATCATCCTTTGAACCATCCTTTAAACCCTAAATATCTCTAAACTCTAAACCCCAAACCCTCAACATCCCTAAACATCCCTAAACCCTAAACCCATAGCACAACCACCCAAACCGTAGTTCCCGAGCCTTAGCCTGAACTTGACAACCTGTTGAGTTCCAGGAGTGTTTTTTTGGGGGCTCGGAGTTGAGGCCTTTACAGGGTTCCTTATGATGGCGGTTTAGGGTTTAGGGTTTAGGTTTCTTTGTATACATCCTGAAGAAGGTAGATTGTTCAGGGTCGTAGGGTTTGCTGTGAGGTTTTGATGCACTTGGGACGATGGCGGAGGGCCATCTCACCAATTCACCCGGCGGCCAAACAGCCCAATGCTGTTCTTTCCAGAGTTAAGGCCCGACGTTGGCCCTAAACACTATCCTAAACGCTTACGAGAACCTTGCAAGATTCCGCTTAAGAGTGAGGTCGTCAACCCCAAACCCTGAACGCCAAACCACAAACCCCGCCCTGAGCTACAAACCCTGAACCCCTAAACGCTTCACCAAAAACCTCAAACTAAACCCTAGATACCCTAAACCCCAAACCCTCCCCAAACCTGGAGCATTTGTGGCGCAAGTGAGGTTGACTCGCTTGCTGTCGGTTCATCTCGGCGGCAACTCCCGCACCGGCCTTTTAGCCTCGCCCCTACGGTGCTGAACATGACAGCGGGGCTTCCAAGATTCTATGCTGTTTTGTATGGAGTTTCCGTACTGATCTATAGGGAGTTTCTATACTGTTCTGTAAGGTGTTTCTGTATTGCTTTATAGGGAGCTTCTTCTATAATGGGTATGCGTCGATGAGGGCGCTCGCAAGAGATGTGTTCTGGATGGTATACCAAAGAGCAAGTGTGTCAACCGTGCTGCAACCACTACTACTACTACTACTACTACTACTACTACTACTACTACTACTACTACTACTACTACTACCACTACTACTATCACTACCACTACCACTACCACTACCACTACAACTACAACCACAACAACAACAACAGCAACTACTACTACTACTACTACTACTACTACTACTACTACTACTACTACTACTACCACTACTACCACTACTACCACTACTACCACTACTACCACTACTACTACTACCACTACAACTACCACTACCACTACCACTACAACCACAACAACAACAACAGCAACTACTACTACTACTACTACTACTACTACTACTACTACTACTACTACTACTACTACTACTACTACTCCTGCTGCTGCTGCTGCTGCTGCTGCTGCTGCTGCGACTGCTACTGCTACTGCTACTGCTACTGCTACTCCTACTACTACTACTACTACTACTACTACTACTCCTGCTGCTGCTGCTGCTACCACCACTACTACTACTACTAGTACTACTAGTACTACTACTACTACTACTACTACTACTCCTGCTGCTGCTGCTGCTGCTACCACCACTACTACTACTACTAGTACTACTACTACTACTACTACTACTACTACTACTACTACTACTACTACTACTACTACTACTACTACTACTAAGTACTACTACTACTACTACTACTACTACTACTACTACTACTACTACTACTACTACTACTACTACTACTACTACTACTACTACTACTACTAGTACTACTACTACTACTACTACTACTACTACTACTACTACTACTACTACTACTACTACTACTACTAGTACTACTGCGGCTCATTATGCTACTGTCTCTGCAACTGAGACTGAGTTCAAGTCGGTTAAGGATGTCGAGCAGGTCCTTCGCCCGTTCTGAGAAGGTATTCACCGGGAGTCCATGGTTAGTGTACTCTACCTAGACCAGGACCCCGCAAGGGCCCTTTAAGAGAGTCCTTATGGCCCTTACTGGTGGGTATTTTATAGCAGAGGGTACTAAGGGGGGTCTAGGTAGTCTGTAGTGTCCATTTTAGCGGCCATTTGGTTAGCCAACTTGTTGGTTAGGGTCCCATACTATAAATCCTGGTTAACTTAAAACTATAGAACTACAACAGAGAATATATAAGTAAAGCCGAAGCCGTACCTGAGGTCACTTTGACCCCAGCAGCAGATGCTGTTGAGCAAAGCCTCACGACGCTGCGTTTTGCGCAGAAAGCTCCTCGGACTCTGTCCTTACATTCAGTCTGTCTGGTTGCAGGACAACTAAGTCACACATTCGACTCGACATCCCTATCCGCAAGCTGTCTCATGGTGGGCGCAACCTCGAAACCGTGCCCGAACCGCCGCAGATTCAAAGTACCAGTACGCAGATATATATGCAAGTAAGGCCGATTACTTCAGTCCAGGGTCGGCGACCACTGTAATAATTCGCGAATATGAAAATGAGGCCCGGAACCCTTAGACCGCGAACGCTTAAACCCCTGAAGACCACGTGCGAACAAGTACGGTTCTCTTTGAGCCAGATCACTGTGCTTCAAGCTGGGCTTCAGGAGGATTTTCCTGGAGCCAACGCGCTGAGGCATCACAGGTGCGCTGTGTCGCCAAGCCGGTCCTGATCAGTAAGGCACGCCAGACTAGCGGACCGAATATGGGATTCTCCGAAAATTGGGGTACCCTATTTTGGGGGTCCTTATAATAAGGATCCTACTGTATAGGGTACTATGTTTTGGGGTCCCCTATTCTCGGAAACTCCCATATCTCGATGTTTTCAATAGGGCTCCTTCTTAGGCTTCCTTTTAGGGCTCCTTTGTTCCTTTAAGTAAGGTTCTATAAGTTTTTGGGGTATAAGGGTCCATGGACCCAAATAGTATATACTCTGGCCTTGTGGAATTCCCTATACAGATACGTCATTGGGCCCCAAGTACATCATACTATTTCCCAAAGGGTCCAAAGGACCCAATAATCAGGTACTCGGGTTTGGGGTAGTAGTTGTGTAAGTTGCTGTTTTTGAGGGTGTATAATAATTGGGTGCTTGGACCCTTAGGGTTGGTTCGCAGGGACCCAAAGTGCATGATTTCAAGCTTTAGCATCCAATGGTATAGGGTTTTGAAGCTGAATCTTAACATTATCATCGCTAATTTATCTAATATGTTGGGGTCAAAGGGCCAGGGTTTCTTAATCAGGTTCCTACAATGTAGGAACCTGATTAACAAACCCTGGCCCTTTGACCCCAATGTGTTGGGATCCTTACTAAGAACCCTACTAGGGAGCCAAGGTTTCTTAATCAGGTTCCTACATTAGCATTGCTACTGCTATGGTTTTCACGTCTTGCTAGCCTTCGGAGTGGTCACCAGCTGACTTGACTAGCTTCATCAGTCTAACTGAAGTTCCCATGCCTGGAGGTAATTAGATGAATAACCGCTTTGTGCTTCCCGAGATTGAAAAAAACACTCCCAAATGCTCGCAGGAAGCCATGAAGCAAAAGACCTCAACCAACAGACGACAACAAACTACCCGCCTAGATCACACCCCGTCCAAAAAAGCAACAACCAACGAATACAATACACTCGTGGTCACCCGGTTAATGGAATAACTGTACTTTTGTGATGTTAGTGGGAGCACGTCGGTGTCGGTCGTATTGGTAGAGGTCATCGTTCTTGTCTTGCTTGTTAATAAAAGTCGACAGCTTAGGGGTTGCAGATTGGGGGGGTGACGAATTGTGTATTGAAAAACTCTGCCTACTGCTGCTGTTACTCTCTTAGTTCTCCTGCTGGCTGCTCGTGCTAACTCTAACAACTACTACGACAGACTTCCTGCAAGTCCTATGACTCTTAGACATGTCCACAGGAGCAGTCACTGATCGTCAAGCAAAGAGAGATCATCGCACAGCTCCACAACCAGGCTCCTTGCCGAGTGTGGTATTGGTGATGATATAAATCCTGCCTTACCCATAATAAGGAATATATCATAGCTCCCATAATCTGGTCCTTAAGGTAATGCAGGATAGTTTTCATCAGCAGTAGGATGGGGTTATTCTTTTTTCCATCGCTTGAACGGTTTTATGCTTGTTGAAATCCAACGGTCTCAGCCTCAAATCCAAAACTTAAGCCCGCCGTCCACTCACAATGCTACAGCCGTCGTGGGGCCTGATCTCCGCCCTTCCCCTCCCCCTCTCCCTTCAACAGCTAGAAAGCCGCAAACCCTAAACCCTTGAACCCTGAACCCTCAAAAACCCTCTACTTGGAGGTTCATGGGTATGTATAAATGGGGCTATAAGTCCCCTAATAGGGGTATATAGCCATAGTTACCCTAATTATAGCCCCACTTATAATTGCCCATGAACCTCCAAGTAAACTCTAAGCCCAAAACCCTGAATCCTACCGCCCTGCTTCACAAAATCAAGAAGGAGAAGCATATGTGCCGCCTTGCACCCTACCGAACCCTAAACCCTAAACTTAGGGGTGCTTCGAAATAGTTTTAATTTTTGGTTACTATAATCCCTAAGAAACAGCTAAAATTGTAATTTTTGCCAGGGTTCTAAGTTCGGTATAGTAAACACTATCAGCCCTAAACCCTAAACCCGGAACCCACCGACATTCAGACCAGGTCCGAAGCCTCCAGGAAGAGGCGCATGACATGTAAAGCAAGGCTTACCCTAAGGGTCCGCATGCTCAACTAGTATAGACTTTGGGCGCAATGTACCTTTTTTGGGAGTACTTTATGGCCAAAGTATATACTGTGTAGGCCCTAAACCCCAAACCCTAAACCCTCAACCCTAAACCCTAAACCGTTTAGCTTAAACCGTACGTAGATATACTTTGTAGGCCCTAAACCCTAAACCCTAAACCCTAAACCCTGAACGCTAAACCCTAAACCGTAGGTACATGGACATTCTCAGGCTTGGGTCGCTTCAGCAGGTTTTGGTTATTCAGTTTTAGAGGCTTTCGCAGACTTTGGCAGGCTTCGTTCCCACTGGCTTCGGTTTTGCAGTTTCAGTCTAGGGTTTGAGTTTGTTTGTTGGCTAGGGCCCAGAGTAGGCCCTTATTCCCTTTTTTAGGGTTCAGGTTCCCTTATAAGCCCCTTTAAACCAAAAAGGGCATCCTTTTTATGCCTGGGTTACTCTTGGGTCTAGTTGGCTTTTGGGATTTAGTGCTTGATGCGTAGAGATCAGGGCCCACTAGACTGCAGATTCAGCAATATAGGGGCCTAAATAATTACCTGTACTATTTTGAGGGATTTCTTATTGTAATTATAGTATAATGGGCCCCCAACCCTATTCTAATTATGAAGGCCCCTATATTACTCTCCTAGCTTTCTAGGCTTAGAAGTTTTTGGTGGGTTTTGGAGGTTAGTGGCGCCCCGGCTCATTCAGGGGGGTTTAGGGCTTAGGGGGCAAGGCTGAAGCATGGGTTGCTAGTAAAGCTCAAAGGGTCCAAAGGACCCAATAATCAGGTATTCGGGTTTAGGATAGTAGTTATGCCGGTAGCTGTTTTTGACAGTATATGATAATATTAGGTACTTGGACCCTCAGGGAAGTTTTGAGTTTTGACAAATATGTGCAGTAGGCCTTGGGGTTTAGAGATACAAGGAAGCTGGCGAAATTAGGGTTTGGGTTTGGCGATGTTGAGCTCTAGGCGACCGACTGTACCAGCGCGCCAGCAACAGCCCTAAGAGCCTAAACGTCGCGGTGGCTTGTTGTTGCTTTTTCGAGATCATGGGATTTGTAATTGCGCCAGCTGAAACATCTGGCATACCCTCAAGCCTGATTTTATCACGAAGGCACCAAGTATGGACAGGATGCCTACCTTAGGATCCAAAGTCAACAAATGGGTCGTTGTTGTGTTTCTTCTTTGGTATTCTTTGGTTATGATTTCTGTTGTAGAGATGTCCTTTGGGTTAAGGTGTGTAAGGTGATGGTTCGGTGTGTAGGATAAGGATCCAAATTCGGTCGATTTCCTTGGTGCAGATGTCCTTTGCGTTAAGGTGTGTAAGGTTATGGTTCGGTGTTTTGGGTAAACGTTCAATCCAAAGGTAAAAGGAGGGACCCTTAATAAGGACCCCTAGGTACATACCCTTAATATAGCTATTATATACCCATTATTTAGCCCATTATAGGGCAGGGGTTCCCATTAAGGGTCCCTCCTTTCCCATTTGATTCACATCTGGTCGCCTTTGTAGAGGTCCTTTGGGTTACGGTGTAAGGTTCTGGTTCGATGTTCGTGGCTTCCCAGTAGGCCCTTTTCCCCTTTTTGTGGTCTTAGGTTCCCTATTGAAATACCCTATACCAAAAAGGGAGCCCTTTATATTCATAGGTTGCTGGGCATCCTAGTGTTAGGGTAAGTCTTCAACCCCGGTCGAGGTGCAGCAGCGTACGAGCTCGTTACCCAGTCGGTCGGGCGAGGACATCGGGGACTGGAGGGTCTATCCGAAGGTTTAGGGTTTGGGGTTTAGGGCTCAGGGTCTAGGGTTTGGGGGTTTATCCGAAAAACATGTGTCTCGAAGGCTGGAGCAGTACGAGGCCCTGTCATCAAACCCCTGAGCCCTCAAACCCTACATTCTAAACCTGACTTGACAGCCCGGGAGCAGGACGACTTGGTCGCAGAAAGGCAGCAGTGCGCAGAGCAACTGCAGGTGGCTGGGAATGCATCCGCCTTCACCCCGAAAGCTTAGGACTTAAGGTTTGGGGAGTTTGGGGTTTCTAAAGATTCGGGTTGAGAGTTGGGTCCCCTAAACCCTAAATGAGTTGAGTGTTTGAGGCTTGGTTAGGTTTTTGGGTTCATAGGGCCTGTTTAGGGCGGCTCTGACCCAAAGGCGGCAATCTTGACCGGAATGATGCCTGTGCTTCCCAGTCACGGAGGCCCAGATGGACATGCTAGAAGCATGACCTAGGACCCAGAGTAGGCCCTTATTCCCTTTTTTGAGGCTTAGGTTCCCTTATAAACCCCCTTTAAACCAAAAAGGGCACCCTTTTTATTCTTAGGTTACTCCTCTTAGGTCTAGTGACAGTTCAGCATATTGCAGCTTGCTTTGGGAACTTCCATGAGCACTGAATTGGGTTTTTTTGTCCGAGGACCTCGGGACTTTATGATGAGCCCCGATTTCCTGTTTGGGTGTTGGATGAAGAGTTCAGGTACAGCAAAACCTCGAACCTACATTATCATGGCTCTGACAGATTTACAGCAGAACAGTCATTCCAGATGCAGGGCGACCCAAACTGCGCCACCGCCTGACCCAAAAAGGTTCTAAACCCTAAACGTCAAAACCTTATAGGAACCCCTCTATATCCCTGGACCTTACCCTGGACGCCTTATATAAAGGAACCCCTATAGATCCCTTAAAGGACCCCTTATAGGACCTTAGACTGTAAAGAACCCCCCTGCCGCCCCCCCCCTCCCTTCACCCCCTCCACCCCCCCCCCTACACCCCCCTAGCCTTCCTCCACCCCCCTACACCTCCCCTGCGCCCCCCACCCCCCCTCCCCTTCTCTCCTCGCGTCCTTTCCGGCAGAGGCCCTGGTTCTCAGCTCGACGGAACACGGCCGCAGCTTCGTGTCGAAGAGCCGCGAGGCCACTGCTACTCAAAGGATCATGGGACTTAGTAACTAGGGTTATACTTAAAAGGGCTCCTTTAAAGGGATCTACAGGGGATCCATTATAAGAGGGGATTTAGGGTTTACTTACAGAATCATGGGACTTAGTAACTAGGGTTATAATTAGGGTAACTATACTTATAACCCGAATTAAGGTACTTATAACTTTATTTACTAAGTCCCATGATCCTCCAAGTACGGTGGATGATATAGAATCCTATGACCCCTTTAAAGGGATCTATAAGGGTACCTTTAAGCGGCTCCTTTAAGGGATCTAGAGGGTTTTAGGGTTTAGGGGTGGTGATATAAAATCCTCCATTACCTTAAGGACCCTAAACTATGGGAATTATGGTATATTCCGAATTATGGGTCATGCAGGGTTTATATCATCAACCGTATGGGGGCCTTCATGTTGTCTCTATAGTAGAATGGATCCAAAACCTGTTTTTTTTTATTATTCAGACCCCTCTATAACTTGTACGGGATGTTGGGTTTGGGGTAAGGTGAGGGTTCTGTTGAAATGTGCCTTAAACATTCACGGGCCGTATAAGACTTCTGAGTGTCCAGAAGGATTCTATAGGCTCCATAGGGGTCCAATAAGAAGTCAGAGTTTTACGAAGGTGCAAAGGGCTGTGAAGGTTTGTTGTTGTTCCGGTTCTGTAGGGCTTCTCTGGGGTGCTTAGGGGCTAAGGGTTTAGGGGTTTGGGCGTTAAGGGATTCAAGGTTTGGTGTTTATCAAGGTCGAGGATCTCGCGGATCGTAGTGGCTTTAATTAGGCTGGGAGGGGAGGTGATGCGAGTTTTCGGTGCTTAGGGCTTAGGCTTCAGAGGGCTCCGGGCTAGGGGTTACATGCTGTGGTTCCCTTCTATACCGCGTCCTTGTGGTCAGTATTCAACCCGAGACTACGAACCTTAGCATCCTTTCCCTAAGGGTCCGTGTACCCAGAAAGTAAATACTTTGGCCTTAAAGTACCCCGATATATGTACGTTGGGCCCAAAGTATACTATTCGGGTACATGTACCCTCAGGGTTTGATTCTGTCCGGGAATCCGCAGCAGTATCGATTTTGGTGTTTATTATCAAGGTCTGAATAGCAAGTAGCGATATGCCCTATATAAGCCGCCTATACTTCTATCAAACCAACCCGCCATGCCCTGTTCAAAGTGTCAATGCTGCCACTTTCCGAGTCTAGTTGAGGGTTTTATGGTCTCGGCTGGAGGGTCTAAGGGAGGTTCCGGTTGTCACCCCTTCTTTTTGTTTAAGGCACCTACTTCTCTCTATATATCAGATCTTAACCGTATAGCTAAGGGTACGCCGGACAAGGGTTAGGGCATGTACTCCGAAGTTCTCCAATACGCCACCTTCAGACTTGTTGGGCTCTTGTAGCTTTTTAGTAGTAGTCGTCTGAAATCTTGACCTGTTACTTCTGTGGCTTATGAAATCGGGAAGAAAGACCCTAATTCTGCCATGTATCTATCAATTTGGATCTTTGGGCTCATGTGAATAGGTGCTGCGGGTCGATGTTTTAGGTACTTAGACCCATAGGGCTCTGCTGCTTTCTATTCTTACCTTTGCTTAGTAGGGAATGGAGGAATGGGGTACAAGCATAAGTACTATTACCACCATTCTTCCATTTCCTACTAACCAAGGTAAGTAATGTCCTACGGTTGATGATATAAATCCTGCATTACCTTAAGGCCCCTAAACTATGGGAATTATGGTCTATTCCTTCTTATTATGGGAAATGCAGGATTTATATCATCACCCGATGGACCCGTAGGGCTCTACTGCTTTCTAAAGTCTAGATCACGGTTCTGCAGGTTCGGGTCTCGACCTTCGGGTGAAGTGCTCAGGCTCAAGGATTCTGAAATCCAGGGGTCCAGTCTAGGGGTCCAGTTGAGTTTAGGGTTTAGGATTTAGGATTTAGGGTTTAGGGGCGGAGTCTACAGTAGAAGCCCAAAAGTTGGAAACGCCATAGCCTCAATCCTTAGGAGTAATGTATAGGGAATCCCAGCACTATTTGGCCTTAGTCCGGTTTCCAACTTTTTGGGGTGTACTGTAGGGTCCAGTGTTCGGGGCGGGAGGGTGAATACGGGACCAAATCAAATCTGAAGTTGATCTCGCCTTGCAGAACTTCCAGCCCAAAGGGTCCAAGTATCATTATGGTACATACTTAGACCCCCAAAATACCCTATAAGTATATACCATAATGATACTTGGACCCTTTGGGTAGGTGGACACCGTGGTTACAGCCCTTCATCGCAACATGGACGTGCTCCAGAAGCAGATCCTTTGGCCGCATTGTTGAACCTTCCCCAAAGGGTCCATGCAGCTAGCAGGTATATGGTGGAGAAGAGTAGAGTACAGTATATGCACAATGTGTGTGTGTGTATATATATATATGCATATACATACTTATATATATATATATATATGTATACACATTAACCCATATATGCATTTATTTGTTCGTTTATTTGGGCATGAAATAGGGCCAACGTGTGTAGCACTTAGGTACAGGCCCATCATTTAGGCTTCTTATTTACATAGCCGCATTGTTCTTGGAGCCGTTGATCTTTTGAGGCGAATCCTGTAGAACACTGTAGTGGATTTGGATGGGCATTTGGATGGGCTTCAGGGCTAAACCCTAAACCGCCTCGTGCTTAGGGCTTAGGACTTATAGGATGCTTCACACCCGAAAGGGTCTCGAATGGCATTTTCTTCGTCGAGCCTCCGGGAACACTCACTGAACTGTTCTCTTTACCCTCTAAGGTTTCAACACCGAAGTAAGTGTGTGTGTGTGTGTGATTGCCACACTGGCTGGAGGAATAATACGGTAGTACTGTACTCCCAACCAAAGAGTAATCATACAGGCCCCTATGTGAATCTCTGAGGAGTTCACATCACCTGTACAGCAGCAGAAATCCGGCAATAATTATGAGGTTTCCCGGCACAAAGCGTTCTAAACACGTTAATGGAGAATACTTACCCAACCCATAGTCGTATTTCCTAATATAGAAGCCCTGCATTCTACTTAAAAAGGTATTTACCCTAAGGCTCCATAGTAGTTCCTTTTTTGGGATTCATATTTCGAATCCTATAAGGTAGTCCCGAAAAAGGAACTACTATGGAGCCTATGGGTAAGGCCCTCTGGGTAGAATGGACCCTCTTAAACCCTAAACCCTAGCTTCCCTTGCAAAGGAAGGCCCTTGTTGTCGAGAACATGAAAGCGCTCTACAAAGTGCCTGGCATGGCTTGCTTATTGTAAACTCCAAAAAGTTGGAAACCTAATTAAGGTCAAATCGTGCTGGGATTCCCTATACTTTGCTCTTAGGGAGTGAGGCTATCGGGTTTCCAACTTTTAGGCTTCTGCTGAGGGTTTAGGGTTTAGGGCTTAAGACCACTTCCTAAGGGTCCATGTGCCCACATAGGGCTCCTTTTAGGGTTCCTTTAAGGGTTCCTTTGAAGGGTACCATAGGGTTTAGGGATATTTGGGGGGTAGAGAAAGGCCCAGGTACCGAAATACTATATAGTTTGGGTGTACCTACATAGGGAGTAAATTCAAGGCCAATACTATTTGGGTACATGGACCCTTAGGGAAAGGAAAAACAAGTAACAGTTGAAAGTGTTAAGTAAGTAATTGCCCCGATCGCAGTAAAACTGTAAAGCCCAACTATAACCCTAAACCCCTAAACCCTAAACCGTAAAGCCCAACTAGAACTAAGGCCCCCAATCCTCTATGGTTAGAGCCTGAGGTCTGAGTCTATGGGGCCCATTACCCCTTGAAATGGAGACAAATCTCTGTACGTGAAGTTGTCTTCTAGGACCCAGAGTAGGCCCTTATTCCCTTTTTAAGGTCTAGGTTCCCTTATAACCCCGTTTAAGCCAAAATGGGCACCCTTTTTATTGCTAGGTTATTCCAGGGTCTAGTCTTGTTCAGGAGCAATGATTGAATCTGTGGGATATGCCTGGTCTGGATATTCTGTCCGTGGTTCCCTTTCAGCCACTCGAGAGGGAGTGTGGGATGAATTTGTTTTGTGGTTTTGGGTTTAGGGTTCGTCAGTCTTGTCATGTCAGTGGTTGGGATCTTGTTCCTGACACAGTTGCACGCATCTTGTGGAGCCACCACGCCTTCCTGAGCCTGAGTCCAACGTACGGAGATCTCCTTCATGTCATAAGCTCCATGGGCAACCGCCATTTAGGAAATGCAGAAGAGAAATCCTATGGCAAAGCTACCTTCAATCTCAATAAACCCTTATCGATCCTGTTCTACTTGGCTCTGTGCGAGGCCGTCAACGACGTGAATGCCTCCCTGACCCATGCAGCAGAGGTCTTGAGGACCTTACCCTAATACATACCCTATCCGGCTAGTCTTAAAAACGCTACACTTAAAAATTACCGTCTAGTCACCCTACGCTAAGTGGAAGTGAGGTTTGGGCTTCGGATGGCTCTACTTCCACGCGTTCAGATGCTGTTCTTTGGAGTTGCCTGCTAGCATGACTCCCAGCGCCTTGCATGTAATTTTGACGCTTTTTTCTCATTTCTTTTATGCCCAAGCTTCACACTTCTGGGTTCTTGAGATATGAGATATGCCATAATCCTAAACCCCGGGACCGCCAACGCCTAAACCCACAACCGCAGCTTGACCCTGTCTTCCTTTGCCATATTGTGCATTGGCGAAGTAAGTTTCAGCTTCAAGCCCCAACACTAACGAAGAACCTGCACCTAGAGTGACCGAGGTACCAAGCAAAGGACATACGGTTGATGATATAAATCCTGCATGACCCATAGTAAGGAATACACCATTATTCCCATAGTATAGGGTCCTTAAGGTAGTGCAGGATTCATCTCATCTACCGTATATCCAGTATGTTCGGCGTCCTGCACCCTTGTGTTAAGGTTTGCATTGCTCATTACTAATTACTCGCTCTGGACAGCTCGAAGTGGCTAGTCCCGACACTCGCAAGTACAGTCTGCAAATATCTAACCTAGGGGCCTGCATCTTAGATCCCCAGTACCCAACCTTTAAACTGTTTGGGTTCTTGTAGTTCAAGGCCCGTTGCTGTATGATACACACAGTTGAACCCTAAGACCAAATCCCGCCTAATCCTGAATCCTCAATTGGATGCATAATCCATACAACCTCATAAGCCCTGAACGCAAAACCCATATTCCCTAGATCCTGGTTCCTAAACCCCTTACCTGTAGGCTCATACCCTACCCTCAGTTTACGGTACCCACTTTTCCAAATAACAGATCCCTACCATAAAACTAGGTACCCCATGAAGGGGCAGGGTATAAGCCTCTAGGTTCTTATTACAAGGCCCAGTATGGAGCTTATAGGGACCCTACAAAAAGTAGGTTTTGGTAGGTTAAGGTAATGCCAATAGCCCCCTTAAGGGAACAAGTCCTGCGCAGGAGCGGAGAAGGACCAGAGACGGCTTCATCCATCCTCGCTGCCGCCGGTTCCGCACCTCGGCTCTTCAGCGCTCCCTGAGACTCCCATGTTCCTTAATTAAGGAATACTCCTTAAATCATATTAAGGATCCTACTATAATTTAAGGGTATATTCCTTCATTAAGGGATATAGGACTGACTCTCTGGGCTGTCATAAGCTCGGCAACTTCTGCCCCAAACCCTTAAGCTCCCTAAGCCGTAAGCCCTCTAAGCCACTAAACCCCTCAACCCCCCATAGAAGCCCTAAACCCCTAAACTCGCTCCAAAGGGTCCAAGTATCATTATGGTATATACTTATAGGGTATTTTGGGGGTCTATAGTAGAAGCCAGAAAGTTGGAACATACTTGTCCTCATACCCTTAAGGTACAGCTATAAGGGATCCTAGCACTAATCCTCCTAAAGTTATGTTCCAACTTTCTGGCTTCTACTATAGACTCGCTTAAACCTTGATGCCTTGACGCAGCCCCAAAGCCGAAAGAGGTGGGATCCCAGACTTCGGAGATGAATTCGAACCCTAAAACCCTGTAGATCCCTTAAAGGAACCCCTTAAAGGTGCCCCTTTTAGATCCCTTTAAAGGAACCAGTGCTGAAAACGGTCGGTTATTCGGGGGTTTAGGGTTTATAGGGGTTTAGGGTACCGGAAATTCTAAAACCTGAATGGCACGCGGCCCCCAAATCCCACGCCCGATGGGAGCCCTACTTGTAGATAGCCTCAACACACCCAACCCGAAGTTCTCAAATAAGCCCCACCTTAGCCTACAAAACCCTACTTTTTTGTAGGCTCTTATTAGGAACCCTAATATGGAGTTTATAGGGACCCTACAAAAAAGTAGGGCTTGGTAGGTTAAGGCAAATCTGCAAGGTGCCCGACAATTCGGCTCCTTGGGCGCCGGCTGTTTTGGAGTTGCGGGAGAAGCTGGTGCTCCTCCTTGGCGCAGCTCAGAGTGGACCTTCGGAGACCTGGCCGTGGGTTTGGGGGTTGACGGCTTTTAGGGTTTATATAGGGGTTTAGGGCTTTTAGGGTTTAGGGCTTTCAGGGTTTAGGGGTTAGGGCTTGTAGGGTTTAGGGGTTTAGGTTTGGGGTTTTGGGGCTTGGGGTTCAGGGAAGATGACTCATGATTTGAATTTAAATTAGGGTTCAGGGTCAACGTATCAGGGCCCACGTTTTTGGATTTGGGGAAGGGGCTAAGGTTATCTTGACATGCGAGCCCCTGGACTGTACAGTGACCCCAAACTGCGAAAGCAAAAGGACAGTTTGTAGGGACATTTTTCGTACACGCCCGTGAGTTGTATTTAGGAAGCAAGGTTGGAAGTGTGGTTCTCCGGAGCCACTGAAGCCTGGCAACCGAACTCTACACCCTAAATCCATACACGAAGGAGAAGCAACCTCAACCCCAAACCCTGAACCCCAGACCCTAAACCCTCTAAACCCCAAACCCCTAAAAAAAAGAAGCCTCTAAACCCCAAACCTTCCCCTGTAAACCCCAAGCCCTACACCCCAAACCTAAACCCAAAGCCCTCAAGCCTGAACCCTCCAAAAAGCAGAGGAGGGAGGCTGAGTCGTCAGCACTGCGAGATCTCCTGGAAGAAGGACTGCGTGGCCGTTCTGAAGCAGCTCAAGATGCACCTTCGAGGCTGGGGTGTGAACTTTTTTAAGGATTGTTCATAAAGTTTAGGGTTTGGGGCTTATCTAGGATGCACCTGCGAGGCTGGGTGTGTGAGCTTTTTAAGGAGTGTGGAAATTTTTGAAGAGGCTGCAATAGGTTTTGATTTGGTTGATAAGGGCTTATAAGGGCTGAATAGGGCTTTGCGGCTTGGAGGGTTGCGGGCTTAGGCTTCGGGCTCTTGTTTTTCCTTCGTCTCGCTGTTTATCTTTCGCTGCCTCTTTGCAAGACGTTGTCATTGTTTCACCTGAACTGAAAAGCCGGATGCTCAAAAACCGGGCAGACATGTCTATCCCGCCTGAGGCAAATCATGTTGAAAAACAGGCAATAATCATGGTATGATAGCAGGAAACGCAGAACAAAATAGCAAAGAAGCCTAAGAACACAAAACATAAGCAACAACACACATAACACATAAGCGCAACAAAGACATGTGCAAAACCACATAACAGGGATTCATAAGCGCCAAAAGCGTAAGCAAAAAACTCCCGCACAAAACGAACAGAAGCAAACCTTTTATACGCAAGAAAGCATATGCACAACCCTAAACCCTAAACCCTAAACCAGTAGCAGCAAGATAGGCAGTATTAGACCACAGGCCGCCTCAGCTCCTACCTGCATCCCCAAACCCTACAAAATAGTAGGTTATGCCCCCTTAATTCGAAGGTAGAGCCCTTAAAACTGTAGGTTTTTGGGATTCTAAGGTAAACCCTAAACTGTGTCAAAGCATGTTTGAGTTCCTCGCGTCTTCGAGGTTTCCCGATAGCCGCCGGGCAGACGGAGCACGACGAAGCACGGGCACGGCGGACGGCCTAAGTGAACAGCAGCCTAGAGCTGGCACCTGGTGGCGAGAGTCTTCCTAGTCAAGCTCTGAAACTGAGCCTGGGCTTACCTTTGGTTAGTAGGGAATGGAGGAATGGCACAATGATATCTACTATTGCTACCATTCTTCCATTCCCTATATACTAACCAAAGGTAAGTGAGAGGACTTAGGAGGGAAGGATGCAGGGGTTTAGTACGGTTCGCGGTTGCACGGTTGGGGGCTGTAGATCTGAAGCTGACATGTTCAGGGTTTATGGCATGGATTTAGAAGGTGACCTGAAGGTGACCGAGGGATTTTATGGTTTAGGCTTGGGTTTAGAGATTGGGGCGAGGGTCATTTTACAGCGTGTTTGCGATTGTTCGTTTTGGGGGGTGGGTTTCAAACACGACGAGAGTTTTAGAGTCCAATGCATCCGTGGCGGGTCTGTAGATCAGGTAAACCCCCCATAATTACAGTAATGGATGCCGTAAGAGACCAGTGCAGGTAGCTTTTAGTCTTTTGGGTCGTAGTGCCTGCTACTCTAGGATGCCCAGTAGTACCCTTATTCCCTTTTTGTAGTCCTAGGTTCCTTATAAAGTTACCCAATACCAAAAAGAGATGCCTTTTTATTCTTAGGTTACTGGGTAACCTAGTACTTCTTTTGAGGACATTGACGCAAAGATTTGCGCGAAAACAGTCATCTCTCAAGCTTCAGGTGGGATCCACTTCTCTTTGAACAGGCTCCCAGTATCTCATAGTCGGACGGGACACTTTTCTATATCAAAGGGACTAAAGCTGACAACTCAGTACTCTGGACTCAGCACGAAGCGTCGTACCTTTGTCCCGTACCGGCTTATCTCGGAGGTCGGAAGATGAACAATGAACTGGATGAGCTATCTACTTTGGGGTTTAGGGCCGCTAAAACAGCAAGAGGTCAAGGTTTTCAGGTGTCTTGGTGCATAACGGCTTCCGAAAGAGGAGCCCGCGGTGATTCATGAGTGTACCCAGACACCTGGTCGCACGATGCATCGTCAAAAGTCTCGCCGCCGAGAGTTTACGTGAGCTGATCTTGTTTTCTTCTCCACAACAGTATATATAGGTAAGTATGTAGGCCCTTAATATACAACCCTATTCTAGATCCCTTGTAGACCCCTTTAAGGATCCCTGTAGAAGGAACCCTATGCTGCAGCGGTGAGGACTACCCTGACGACTTCGAGAACCATTGATACCCTGGTAACCCTTGTGATTGTGACTCTCCGATTTGCAGCATTCCTATAAGGGGGTCTGTAAGCTTTAGGGTTTAGGGTTTAGATAAGGTTACGATGAGGGATCTATAGAAGGATACTGTACTATCCTCAACAAGGCTGTCCCTATCGGTACTGTCACGAAACTGAACATTGTTCGTCGTATTGCCTGTGCTTGTTGCATCTAGCTAAGCAGTTTGTCTTATTGTGAGGCTCATGTATGAGTCGTAGGCACCTGCACCCTACCCTAAACCCTTAACCCCCCCTAAACCCTAAACCCCCTTAAACCCTAAACCCCCCCTAGACCCTTAACCCTAAACCCCCTTAAGCCCTAAACCCTAAACCCCCCTAAACCCTGAACCTTTAACCCCGAATCCTTAGACCTGCAGCCTATGACCCTTGTCTTTGCTCGAACCTAAATCCCTTAAGCCAAGAACCTTAAGCCCCAAACCCTACGCCCTAGACCCCTGAACCCCATACCCTCACTTTCAAGCGTAGATACCCATAGCCCTCCACCCTGCGGAAGCTATTGATCTCGCTTTTGGACCATGTACAGTACCTATGCATTACGTAGGGTTTATGAGTTTGGGGAGTAGTCCGGGTCTCCCCTTGGGCCCTTTTGATTTTTCGTGGTCTTTGGTTTCGTATGGGACCTACACAATACCAAAAAGCAGGCCCCGCATTTAATTCCTAGTGTTACTGGGGGTCTAGGTTAAAATCCCTGTCTCTTTCAGGGTTCTCCAAAAGTTTCCCTTCCATAGCGGTCAAAGTATCTGAGGCCGCATAGATGCATGGGCGCCTTGCTATAATTTGTATTATAGTTTCCCCGGTATCCCCTTATAATAAAGGGGGTACCGGGGAAACTATAATCTAGGGGCCTTCATCAGTAGAATAAGGTTTTGGGGCCCCTGAGGGTGTGCATGGCGGCCCTGTACAGAAGAAGCCCGGAAGTCATGGGCTCCCCGACTTCAAACCAAAACAGTGGGGTTTGGGGAATATGGGAGTTTCCGAAAATAGGGGACCCTAATATAGTACCCTAAATAGTAGGATCCCTATTCTAAGAACCACAAAATATGGTACCCCTCGTTTTCGGAAACTCCCATATCGGGTTTAGGGTTTAGGGTCGGTTCCGAAATCCGACTCACGAGACGTGTGCAGCACTTGTTGGTTTTTGTTCGGGAAATTAGGGTTCCGGGTCAATGAGTAAGATTCGGTGTAAATTTAGAGCTTTACAGGTCTATCCTTAGAAACGAATGGAACCTACAACAGGAACTTCATGTGAGGGTCTTACGAACACTTAGTAGCTGAGTGGATACACGTTACACTTTTTGGGATAATACTACGGACTATAAAACTGAAAGTGTACACTTTTTGGGGCTTATGAACTCAGCTACTAGGAACAAAACCGAAGCCCTAAAACCGTGAACCCTGAACCAAGTCCTCCAGGACATGAACGCCATGCGTTTCGCAGAGCTCCAACAGGCGGAGCTCTTTCGTTTTAGTCATGACTAAGGAGCTCTTTCGTTTTAGTCATGACTAAGAGGGTCCAGATATACTACTCTTATACGGAATTAGATCTACAAAACCACAATAAGAAGGATCTTCGGGGCTATAATTCAATGGTAGTACATATGGACCCTTTTTCGGCAAGGTGCTCTTCGTCAGGGGTCTGCCACGGAAGGGTGTTTGGGAAAAGCGAGCCCTCCCACCAGCTAAGGCCATGGAATCGTAAATCTCCACTTGGGGGGTCGGGGGACTTAGTAACTGGCTATTTTTAGGGACTTCTAAGTACCATAACCCCAATTAGGGTCCCTTTGAGGGTACTTATAAGTCTACTTACTACCTACTTACTAAGTCCCCCGACCCTCCAAGCAACCATCTCGAACCCTTGCTTTGGGTGCCTGGTATAATACAGTAGCTATGATAGTTATGGTACGCCTGAAGCCCAGAATATGGGCCTAAGCAAACACGCACAGGCGCATCCCTTTCCTATGTTTGTGTGTGTGTGTATGTATGTTTTTGTGTGTCTAGGTTTCTGTGCATGGTAGTCGCCAGAACACACGCAAGGGAGTGTCTCGACAGAGAGGAACGTTCGTGTGTTTGCATCGAGATGGAACTTGATCTCACGATGTGCACTGCAACACGCGGTGAAGTACTGGGCGGAATGGGTGTAATTCCGTGACACAGTGTGCATACCCGCTTCGGCTTTGAGATGAGAAGAGTATTTCAGGACATCACAGTGCAGAAGCATGGTAATGTAGGAACCTGATTAAGAAACCCTGGGCCTATAACCCCAAAATAGTAGGATACATGTAAGGAACCCTAACAAAGGCCCAAGGTTTCTTAATCCTACATTAGACAGTAGAGAGAGTGTAGAGAGCATTCATCGATCACTATAGGCGGTTCTCTATGTCCTGATCTACGCCGCTACATGCTGGAATGGAAACACGTAATGCAAGGTCCAAACGCACTTACCAGGTCAGTTGGCACCAAATAGCACAGCAACCTGAGGTAAACCGAACTCCGAAACCCGAATGCCGCTATTTCTGGTCCTATAATTTGGGGGTATGATGTGGGGTAGTTGCGGATGTTGGGGAGCCAGCGTCTGTAGCCAAAGAACAGAAGCCGAGGACGAGCCCCCTTCCCTATACTACCTGCACATCCTAAACCCCGAACTCCGCAACTGCAAAGGATTGTACAGAAAAAGGGTTCAAGGTTAAGAAATCCTCGAAGACTCCACATTCCCTTAGATACCCAATACCACACCTTTAAACTTTTTGGGTTCTTGTAGTTTAGCAGGAATCGGAACTTGTCATCTTTTGTTTCCGGTCAATTCCTCAACCCGAATG